GAGAGAGAGAGAGAGAGAGAGAGAGAGAGCGAGAGCGAGAGCGAGAGCGAGAGAGCGAGAGAGAGAGAGAGAGAGAGAGAGAGGAAGACGGCATCAACATCCGGCATCAGTATCCAAGCGACGAGACACGTCGGCGCGCAGGTGCTAAATGTTGCGGCCAACAACATGCACCTCATGAGCTAAGGGAAAGAGATGCCTCAAACCGTGAAAAACGCTTACCCTGTCGTTGAAGTGCAACACGTCGCCTATTAACATATCAAGCTCGCTCAACGGGGGGGCCTTTTGCCCATCCGGCCCCTTTCCATTCGCCCGAGCCTCCCTCATCTCTCGCGCGTACGGGGAGTCCACAGGCCTGCATCATGAAGCAAGACAACAACTTTACGGCATGGCATAACAATGCATGAGTAACCCTTGCCAAAACATCGCCGGCCGAAAAATGGCAACAATCGTGACCGCCTTGAAGCCATGGAAAGGCAGCGCTTCGCAAGTAGGATTGACGCGCTCCGAACGAACTCTTGCTAAAAAAGGGAAGGACGACATCATATTTGACAAGGGATCGAACCATCACATCGAAACAAACCAACAAGACTCCGTTTCTCAGTGCGTACAGTCTGTTCTAAAGTCCAACCAACACTGTGACTCATACAACACTTGAACCCACAACATGCAGTCAACCTCTCTCTAGCTATCACCACACATTGTGTAAACTACAATAGCGTGCATCAGCTGACTCTTACCTGAACATCTCCGACAGGCGACGTCCCACCGCTCGCTCCCAAAATGCCACCGACTGGTCATCCCCTTCGGGACTGTGTGACATGCTGGACACATCTAAGCCTTGCCGTTGCGCCAAGAACGAGACGTACTCTGGGTTGCGGGTGATGAAATCCCGCATTTGGCACTTGAGAATCTGTAAGTAGTTTGTTGCCATCGACAGGATGGGGAAGCCAGCGCAAATTGAAACAGCTGTTGGTTTGGAACAAGCAATCAAGTAATTGGGGTGGGAGAGTGTGCCCTTTCCACTTGTGCTGTGACAACAGGAATTTGATCGATTGGCCTGTCGTGTATCGCAAAGCAAAACAGACGAACAGAGGGGAAGCCGTGAGACAGAAACGGAACACAGACGGCAAGAGCCCGTCGCCTGTTTGCGATTCACCCACCATCCACCAGGTTAAACGTTGCGAAGGGAGAGTATTTCGCAGAAATGCTCACGATAGCACCCAGGGCCCATCTACGCAGAAAACAGGACACGCCGAAACAAACTCTTGTTGAACCCAGAACAACGTCCAGCCGGACGCACCCCTACCGTGGAAGCACGTTCGTGTATGACCAACCTGAGGCACAATGACTGGCGGCAGCAGCCTGGACTGGTCCTCTCCCAGATGCACATCCGACGACGCATCATCCTTCGTGCTGGGGCGTCTCAGGCTAAACGTTCCTCCGGTAGCAGCCTTCCCGCTGCCTGCGCCGACCCATGGAGTCGGATGGTGGCTTGCTGTTAAAGCAGCCTCTGGACCGACATAGGCTCCAAGGTTTCCCAGGGCGATGGAGGCGCTACCGTTTCGGTGTTGCTCCAGGGTGTACTGTAGGCGCGCTAATGGACCAACCCCAACAACGAGGAGGCTTGGGTCCCTGAACAGCCTCGTCGCAAGCTCGTCATGATCGGAGGTGCTTTGCAGCATATACTGCAAGGATGGTACCACGACATTCCGGACGTCGCTGAGAAGCAGGTGCGGGCAGATCACCACCATAGCCCTCACCTGCGACAAAGCAGTTGCCCATAGCACATGGCAGGAAGAGCGTGCGTCATACATGGAGAGGTTGCAACCTTTTCTTGAGGATGTACGCTTGCCGGTAACACAAGTTACAGACAGCAAGGGTGATGACAGACGGACTCCCTCGACGCTTCTTCTAGTCAGCAACCATGTGCAGTAGTTGCAAAGTGCTGAGTGATACCAACTACACCATGATGAGCGTGCGAGATCACCGCTAGCGTATCACCCGGCCCCAAGCTCAAGACTCCAGGGACAAGACACAACGCCGAGTGTTGAGCAACATCGCCGTCTATAACCACAACCATGCCATGTTCAGAGCCCGACACAACAAATCACCTTATCGGCATCCAACACGCCTTGGAACTGTTTCACCGTGGTAAGCGCCGCCACAAGTCGGGTCATGCGAGGTCGCAAACAGGTCTGCACGTCATTGAGCAAAAGATCGGGGGCAACGGACACCACGCCAGCGACGCGTTCCCCTGGCAGCAATTCGCGCAGTTCCTCGACCTTGTCCTCCACCTGGGATGAACATAGCATGCCATCACAGCAGTATTCGCTTTGTCACATCAGACGTATAACAACACCTCGTTTGACCGTAAACCATCCGTTATGTTGCCATCCGCAGACCATTGTCGTGTCGTTTTATCACGGTGAGTTTTATCACGGTGACCGCCAGCTTAAACGTTTCACACAACCATCAAATAGACCTGACCTTCTTAAGGTCCATGAGGAGGACATTCGGGTACTCGGTGAAGAGTGTTTCCGTGTCAAGTCCTGGTAGTAGCTCCTTGAATCTCTTTAGGCGATACCCCGTCGCCAGCTTGCGAACCTGAACGTTGATACAAGCGTTTGTCGCGAGGGTTGGATCGGTTTGAGCCGCATGGCAGCACCCAGAGGCGTGCGAGACCAGCGAGCTAGCCCTGGTAGAAAACCCGTCGCTTGGTAACCTATGCTCGCCGGGCTTACTGGGGTGAAGGGCTGACAACGCTTCAGGAGGCAACCCTTGGTTGTCTTGCTTGAGGTGTCCAACACGTTGTCGGAAGTAGGGTCAAGGATTCGAAGGTTGTGGTGCTTGTGGAATACCCCGTGACTACCACCAGCCCCAATATATCAGGCACGGTGTCAGGCTTACGGCAACATGCATCCCGTTATTGCAGAGGGCCACCGGCCCTTGGAGCCTCAGCATTGCCAACGAAGTCCATCAACAACTCTTTAGATGGAAGTGCCTTGAAGTTAGGAGTCGTTATTCTGTGTGGAAGGGCGCCACACTGCATCGTCCACCTGCTGATCGAAGGACTTGATGTCGTAGAGGATCATATCCACCTCCGACGGATTATCGCCCAACTTCCCTCGTCTGACGGCCGGAGTGAACCGAAGTTGGGTTTCCTGCGAACAAACAAACATAACTCGAAATCAGAGCAGGCTCGACAGGAATCAATCACCATCAACCACGACAGAGAGGCGTATCAATACATGATCGCAAAAGGGCGCCAGTGGCGGGTACGCCAAACTGCTTTGACGTGGCGGAAGCATGGCCGGCGTAACACAGCCTCTCATCATCGTCGGGCACCATGCAACCATGTTAAACTAAAAGACTCGATACAGAGAACTACTTTGGGGACGTGCCACCAGCCAGTCTAGAAAATGCCTTCCCTCATCCTGCTATCATGGACATACCTTGATGATCTTCCCGTACTTTCGTTCCAGAGCCTTAATGTAGGCGCTTGCCTCCTTCATCTCTGCGGCGCTCGAGACCTCCACTGACCCGTCATCCTATCGAGTACAAGCAAACACACAGTATTCGTAGCATCACACAGCACGTCCCTGCTTTGAGCTATCTTGGCTGGAAGAAAAACCAGCACAGACAAAAAAAAAGAGATGCAAATACCAGCTGTTTCCGAGTAAGGCAGCCCTGATCACCCCGATAAATATTCACTAGCCCGCTATACGGAACACCATCTCGCGCGCGACCCCACCGGCAAGGCAACGGAATAATCGACGGGCCATCTACAACAAGGAATGGAATGCTCATGTGTCATGAGTCAAATGACATATTCGTTGCAATGGGTTCGCAGACCATGTAAGAGTCGTAGTCACAGCCATGAAACGCATCGCAAAAGCTTGACCAAACCACTGCAATTGTTTCGAAACAACTGGCCGCAGATGTAGTCGAAACGTGCGAAGGTGGGTGCATGTACACCAAAGAGGTGATCCGGATGTGAAGGCCGTCGAAATTTCGCCCATTCGGTCGCAACGCAACAGACCTGCAGCTTCGCCGACATGCCTTCCCCTTTCAGGAGTCTTCCGCCAGACCCGTTGCCGCTTCCCGTGTCACTGTCGAAGTACAGCCCGGGCCACAGTCGAAGTACCGACGGCCCTTCAACCTTGCGCTCCAAAAACTTTCTGTTTGTAGTACGCACCAGGAGATGAAGGTGGGGAAAAGCCGTGTGACAAAAAAAATTGCTTTCGGGGTCAGCTCGCCCACTCGTGTCTGCAACTTACTCTACTCAATCCTGCCGATGATCCTCGGTTTCAGTTGTTCCGTTGTCTACGGGAAGCAAGCACATCATCGCCCGGCAGGGTACGCCTTCTTGCATCGACACTCCAATAGAAAAACGAAGTTCTAGACAATACCAAGGAGGAACCATGCCAGCGACCGGTCGCGTCTGTAGAGTGCTAGAAAAATCATCGACAAACGTCGAAAAGCCTTTGCCCAGACACGAGGGATCCGTCCTCGTCAGGTATGTACGTGGGCGGGCGGCGGTACGCTGATACCATGCCATGCGGTGCATTGATGCGGCATAGTAATGCCGGTTACCTGTACTTGACGCCATGAACGGCCAGCCAATCTCTCTTCGCCATTCGGACCGTGGTCCGCATTGTTGCAGGGCGAGGCTTCACTCCGGTCGTCTGCACCGGACAGCACGGCAGTAGAGCAGACAGAGCAAGAATCATCGCCTTATCTACTAGGTTTGGGTGGCTTAGCCGTACAGACAGTTGGTCTGGCACGCGCCTTGCATCCACTATCACAAACACGCCTCTTCCAACCAAGGCCGTCGGGGCAGCTGAAATAGCAAAGAGCTGCACCCAAACAGCCCCACCGTAGTACCTGACGGTATCTAAAGACACCAAGACAACAAATGCAAAACAAGAGTTGACACTCTCATCAACCATCAGCCATCAACCACCTGATCGACCCAACAGGGTCCCGAAGAAATGAAGACTACAAACACAGCAAGATGTCGACCAGATCCTGCAGACGAAACCATGCGGCAGTTGAAGGATTGGGCATCGCGTGTGTATCGTCCACAGCGGTACACCAATGGCACAGATCGATCGATACCTCAATAAGGAAGTCCAGGCGGGATACGGAGGTATCGAGGCTATACGACAGCAGCAAGGGGTAGTCTTGTATCAGCTGGTTGAGCTCCGTTGCGTTGGACACGCGTTCTCGCCAGCAGTCCACCTGATCCATGGATGCATCCATCAGAATAACAGCCAACAGTCAGCATCGCGCGACAGCTAAACAACGCCGGACAGAGTGCCATTAACAGCATGGTAGCCGGTGGACAGCATGTACATAGTACTGCAATGCGAAAGCCTCAGGCACCTGCCATTAGCTTCGCGCGTACTATATACCGCAATCCTCCACCGAGGTAGGAACCCCGGGGGTAGGGAAAGTTCACTTTGCTGAAGTTAAAACCCCGAGGGGGTAGGTGGGTACAAAATACGATAATGCAGTACGGTACGGTACGATACGGTACGGTACGGTACGGTACGGTATGGTACGGTACGGTACGGTATGGCACGGTATCAGTTTCGTTTTCCACACATTGCCTAACTGCCGACATCATTGCGTAACTGGAAGAAGATTCTACTATATGCAAAACCTGCTCTTCAACGCGAAAAATCATCAACAACGACAGATTGCAACGATTCAATGGTCTTGCAACGAATTTAGTCACATTCCGACGGAGGCAAGAGTGTTCGGTCTCAACAGCAGCGCTGGGGTCGATACGTGCCAGACGCGTGGGCTCTGTCACTGTTCCGCAAAATGTGCTGTGATTAGAAGGAGCCAGCAAGATGACAATTTTGGTCTGAAGTGAACCCCCCGGGGAAACGAAGAAAAAAGAGGGTATGGGGGGCCAGCTTCAAAATGATACCTTTCCTCGACTGACTCAAAAGTGCTTCCAGTTTGTTGGTGAGTTTTGTTTGGGACGGGCCGTAGAGAGAACACAGAGTAGATTGGGGGAAACGCATCGGAGACTGCAGCCTCCACTGCGCGCGAAGAACTGCAGCAGTACCACGAAACCATTGTTTAGCTTTAGAGCCTCGCTCAAACAAAGCATGCTACAAGCTTCTACGTCGTGAAAGGTGTACAGGACGCGCACACGCCTTGGCGTAACGTCAAAAGGATTCTTTCGGATCGCAGGCAGCGGCGTTTTCAACGGGACGGCACACGGTCATCACGTCTGGAAAACTTACCTTCACACCGACGCTTGTGTAGTCGTACAGTAGAACGGTGGCGTCGCTCTCCACCATTGACACCACATTAGCGTCGGGGAAAAGGTCTTGCAGCTGCTGAAACTTAGCGGCCACAGTTGTCTCAATCTTAGAAACGAGCAAAGCAGGTCTCCGGTGGATGATCTAGCGTCGTCGTCATCATCATCATCGACAATAGTATGCACAACAACGGACGGAACGAAGACAACGGTAAAGGAGGCGTGACCGTAGGCTCAGCAACTCGACCGCACCAACACTTGATTCTTGAAGAGTGTGGGCAAAAAATGCCCCATGGCAACGACCTATTGTGCGAAGGACGTCCCCAGATAAAACTGCAATTGGAATGCTCGTGTAAAGAGTGCTGGGTATGTCTCGCTATGCCCACTACATTGGCCCATGAGCACCGCCCGCGCAGGTCATATCGAATGCCAATAGCATCGCACCCCAAGGCTACTGCGGACGTGGATGCAGACCTACGGCGGTTGCAGTGCAGACAGCGATATCGTCATGCAAGCACAGGTGGTAGGCGTAAGCACCACGCATAATCAACACAGCGACAGAATTATGCCTGACACGCCGACTTTCTTCGCCCTTCCCCCATCTCCTCTACCACTGACAAGTACAGGCAAGCATTTGAACAGTTTCATATTGAAAAGTAAGAATGCCGTCCTCACCCGGTTCAGGTCAGCGTCGGGTCCCAAGAGCCACCTCAGGCTAGACATCTGAAACGACATGCGAGAAAACGCCATACAAATGTAACCAGAGGAGCAATAAGAACAAAATGAACAAAAAAATCACGACAAGAAGCACGAAGCGCAAGAGGCGAACACGAACTCTTTGCTGTGGCACCGTACCTTCGCACTTTCAACCTCACGACCAAAACAAGCCTAACCGGCACGCTCAAGCAGGTCGTACTGGGTCACATGCCGAAAACTGGGATTAGTTTTTTTGCTTGCGGCAAGGCCGACTGAACCCCTTCAATGCATCGCCTCAAACAAACACCACGCCAATTTCAAGTTGTGTCGCAATCTCCTGTTTAACACCAGATACAGTGCTGCTTCCAGCGAGTAAGGTCCTATCAGCGCAAGGCCGTCAACGGGTGAAGACTGCTATCGTGGTCACGGTCTGGTCACCGTCACTAAGCAGCGAACACACCTTCTGCGCCAGGCTTGAGACGTTAGTCGTCAGAAGACGCGGGACTTTCCGCACCAAGACACTAACATCATGCCCCGGCAACAGCTCGGACAGGCTTTCTAACCGTCGTTTTACCAAGCCTCCAATGTCCAAGTAAAGAATCGTCGGCTCAGTCCTGGCAACCAATATTCGACGTTCGAAGCGAGGGCGAAAGTGGCAAGAGGGCAAGCCTGATTGTGAGTATGAGAGAATTGTTTTGTTAAGAGACAATGCTTCGGGCAAGGTGATTGGTGTACGGAGGGCGGAAGAGGGTATGCCGCCGGGAAGCAAGGTGCAGCTTCCCTATCGTAACGGGCATCCCTGACGCCAGCTATTTGGGCTGTCCAACAAAGATGTTTTTCCATCAATAGCACCGCCGCCAACAACGAGGGCGCCATGCGCGCTTGTCGTGGTGCCTGCTGGCTGTTGATTGAAGGCGCTTTTAGTTGTGCCGCTCTCGCACACCCCAATGGCACGACAAAGCACCCTCCAACCCACCACTCAACCTTTATTGTGACGAAGCACTCCCAAACAGAACGTGCATGCGGCGACAAAAAGCACTGCTGTACATGAGCCAGCCCACCTGACAACTTTCAGAACATCTATCCCCGGCAAAAGCGATTCGAGCTGATGAATCTTGGGCATTAGGAATGTCTCCGGATCGTGGGTCAGCAAGAGTGGTGCCCTGCTGAGAAGCCTGGGACTCTCTGGGAAAAGTCGCTTCATGAACTCTATTCTCGGCGCCAGGGTGTCCTCGTGGTACAGCAGCAGGGCCGGGCTATGTCTCACCAGCCTGGCGCAGTTTGCAGGCATCATGGTCATGTGCACGGTGCGGCAACATGATGTTCACGATGCGTCGAGGGGAGGGGGGGGGGAGGGAGAACGTGTAAGGACTTAAGTACACGACGCGCACGCGCTGCTTTTGTAAGAGCTTGGGGATTGCAAGGCGTCGGACTATCGCCTGCTGCTTCTTGCCACCAGAGACACCGTACCCCCAAACAAGACCGCACACATCATTACATGACTACATCAAATGCGGTACTTATTTTATGTATTTTTTAAGAAGGAAAGGATGACACCTGCCCAAATGAAGTGGCGATTTGAGACTCATTGAGTATCACAAGCAAGCGAGATGTTCGCGTTGAATTCCCGTAAAACCAACCATCAAATGGAGGAAAAACTACTGTGCACTTGAGTGGCGAGTTGCCAACCACTTAACACGTGAATATTGCCGAGAGCTTGCAGCATAGCTGTTTCTATGGCCCGTGCTGCTGTGAAGGGAGAGAATCGTCCTCGACGGGGGTTACGGAGATGAGAACGTGAACAACTTTTGAAAGTGAAAGGTCACCTACACAGCTCAGGAAGAGTGCGGTTGAGGTCTCGTTATGTAGTCTCTGTGGGAGGCAATTCACCGAAAGTCTATCCGTTGTTTTACTTGATCAACACCCTTCACCGACAAGGTCGATTCAACAAAACATATTCATGTAGACGTACACAGGATGCACGGCTATCAACATGCTCTTCCTATGGCATCGATTTGTGTCCCCTGGTCTGGTGAGGTCAGAATGAGTAGCACGGAACAGCATACCGTATGTATAACCGTGTAGTGTACAATGTCACATGAGACCACACCCCCTGAACCGATTCTCAACGCTCGATACCTTCAAGCACGAGGAGAGTCAACGCCAAAAAGTGCGGCATTGGTAAGGCATCATCGACAACTTTGCGAAGACGTGTCGATCGGCATTGCCACCCTCCCTGTTGTGGACAATCGACCTGCGAATACCTGTCCCGCGATTGTGGCCTCGTACATGGCATTAATTTACCGTACCGCCGGGGATGTCTTGTCCCCCATTTAATTAAATTCTGTAAAAAAAAAAAATGACCGCAGCCGATGACAAGGCTCACCTTAGGACATCCACACCCGGGAGTAGGCTCGACATGGCCGCCATCCGCCGCGGCACGATCTCTTCCAACTGAGTACTTCCAAGAAGGGCAGGAGCCCGCGACACGAGCTGGCCTGCCTCGAGCCCAGGAAGAAGGCGCTTCAACGTTTGCATCTTAGCGACAAGCGGGAAGTTCGCGCAAGACGTAGGGCGTAGGACGAACGTCGGATTTCAGAGCTTGTGGTCATTGATATGTTTTCGTTCTTGGAACATGCATATCATACCGTATGAACCAACGAACCCAAAGAGACAGCGCGAGGCATCGAAGACTCGCCTGTTGCTATGCATATCAAACAACACAGCAAGTCTGTGCGCGTACCATCATCGGTAGTTTAGACTACAAAATAGGAACTATTTTTCACACAGATTTTGGGCGAAGTCTTGCGCCCGCGAAAAAACGAAGAAAAATTCCTGCTTTCTAAGTGCACTTTAACAGAAAACAACAGCATAAGTTAGTGTAGGGGCATATTTGAGAGCGGCCGAATCTACAGCAGTAAGAACGGGCGCAGTAGTGTGGACGTGACGTCAACCCCTTAAGGGATAGCAGATAAGTGCTTTCACGCTGGCTCTTTTCTTATACTTCGATCCAATATAGACAAAGAAAACAACCGTCCCGCAGGAGGAACCTGGGAATAAGGGCTAATACCAGTAGAGGACACCATGAAGAGGCGTCGTGTGTGCTGGCACGTTAAGGTTTGCTACTGGAGCTGAAATATCATCCTCTGAAAACAGTCCGAAATCTGCGCCGAAACCAACCGGACTCCCAACATTTCTTGCACCGTGCTCACCGCTACGGACCGTAAACCCTGAACGGAGGGTTGTCAGCAGTAGCTAGTTTCATCTGCTACTGCTGTTACCTGCAGTTCAGGAGATTGGGCTCAGTGGCGGCATCCACAAGCAGTGCAAGACGCTGGGTCGGTCTAGTTTGCGGAGATTTGCGGAGATGGTAGGCCACTACATACCTCGACCCGATATCACCACACACAGAAGCAGATTTGAGCGCGCCAACATACCCCCCCGCTGCTATAGGGTGTCCTCTGAATAGTGTACTATGCACCAGGTTCCTGGCAATACCGACCTTGTTTGACCGCCTGCCGTTTTGGCTCTTTTGACTTGAATTTAGGGCAGGGTGAAACTTGTTCTTGATTTCAAAAGGAGGCGTGTGGGGGTAGACGCGTGAAATTTATGTTTTGAGCAGCCTCTACTGCCGCCTGCGGGAGAATCAACGATTTGTGTGTCTGTTGTGCATATTCTGGTGCTGTTGCTTTGTTTTCAAAATTACCATCAACATCATTTGCCATAAATTTGTGACTTGGATCGACGTAGCATACTCGCAGCAGTTCCGGTTCGAAGAGCACACCATGCAGCGACTTCGCTGGGAAGAAAAACAATAGAGAACAACACGAAATGGTGTATCTCCACACATGGTATTTGCCAGCCCAGAGCTCTATCTATCGGCATAGGCGACACTCACAGAGTGTAGCACAATCCGAGCGTGAACCAATAAAATGAATTACGCGCCAGTCGATTACGTCATCTGTCTCGTGGAAGACGTCTGAACCTACAGTCGACCCCGCTTTAAGGACGCTCGCGTTAAGGAAACTCCCCGCTAAAAGGAAACTTGTTTTGCTGAGCACCGGGGGGGCGGCAGAACATGCGATGATGGGGTACACACTTTTTTCTGTCGCGTACCCCCCTTTTTTGTGTCCTGCGGACCTGCGGGCCGCTCTTTGCACGAACCACGCACCACAGTGAGTGCAGAAGTAGCAACGCACAGACAGCAGAAGTAGCGAGCGGTCTGCTGCTGCAGCTGCAACTGGGTGTTGGTATGGATAGATTCCTCCCATCTACCGGCGGTCCATCTGATGCCGCCAAAAAAAGAGCCGTGCATAACCTCGTCCCTCACCGAGGGCGAGGTTATCCCTCGCTTGGAGGAAGTTCGATCATACAGATAGCGCCCGCAGATAAGAAACGTCAAAATCGGTTCGAGCCTCACCAATCCCTTCTTTTCGGTCGAAGTACCGGCCCAAGTCATCCATTTCGTAAATCATCAAGACTCTTTGGATCGCCTTGAAGCCATTATCGACCGCATCATTGGCATCTTTGGATCTCCTGAAATGTTGCATTCCGACCAAGGTCCTGAGTTTGAAAACAGACAGTGTAGTCCAGCAACTACAGCGGATTCTGAACTATAAAAAGACCCGCACGACCCCATATCGTCCTCAGGGTAATTCCGTTTCAGAACGAGTACATGCAACCATGCATGCAATGCTTGCAATGCATAGTTCCATGAACCGCGATAACTGGGCATCACTGCTGCCTTTTGTTCAACTGGCCTACAACACATCTTTTAGCTCCACCATGCACGAAACACCGTTTTTTCTTATGTTGACATTATTCTCGATATTCCTCGTGAAGGAACAACAGCAAATACCGAAGAATTTTCTAAAACGACACGGGATCATCTACAGTTTTCGTTTGAACTAGCGCCCCGTAACTTGTCGGAACGCTCACAAAAACAAGCTGCCAAGGATGCTAAACTACATCCTATCCCTGTGTTTAAACCTGGCGATTTAGTACTTGTGTACCGACCCTACCAGGATTCGGATGGACCAAATCCGAAGCTGTTATTACCGTGGCGTGGGCCTTACGTCAACTGCTCCCAATTATCACCTGTGGTATGTAGAGTGAGACGCCAGAATGAAAGTCGTGAAGTTTCGGTCCATTTAGCCCATATTAAACGGTATTATGCAAGGAAAACGCCACCTGCGCCAGACTTTGATAAACTTTCTGAGTTTTTCTTGGGACGCCAGATTCCGTTGCCCGAGCTAGACCATCCCGATGAAGCTCAACCGAAAATTGAGTCCTACATCGTTGACAAAGTGGTAAGCCATAAAAGTAGTAGGGGGCCGAAAACCCCGTACAACTACAAGTATCGTTTGCGTCTTCGTGGATACGGTCCTGAGTCGGATCTTATGTACAGAGCAGACGAAATTCCACAATGTCAAGAAATGATAGCTGCCTACCGAATCCGTTGTGGTTTGGACATCGCGCCGCCTGATAAATCTGCGTCTCGTGCCCCAGTTAAACAGGGAGATACAAAATCACTCCGTGAAACCAGGAAAAGAAAACGGAGACAGGCAATTAATCCTGAAGAAGCTTCACCTCGAAAATTGGTTGTGCAAAGTGACTCTGAGTAACCCAGCAAAACTAACAAACGACGGAGAAGTGTCCAAGGAAACTGTCATTTACCCCAGTCGCGTTCGGCCACGACCCTAGGTGATGTTACATTGCCCCGTCGTACTACCCAACGAAAACGAACGAGGGCCCGAAAATTGAATGATTGATGCATTTCGATCATTTCTAACAGCTATCATTTCTACTTTTTAGACTTGGGATATTTGTCTACTACCATTATCCTGTGTCCATCACTAACACAGGACCGGTAGCCACGGTGGTAGGTTGTGTCCACTGGGAACAACCTATTCTATCAGTGTTTGGGGAAACACTGGCGAGGAGGATAATTGTTTTAGCCATCGTTATCCCAAGATCTTATTTATGATGCCTAGGCGGAATTGCCAGAGGTTCACCTCATTACAAGTCTACCCCACATCATCCCCACACATGGCATGTCACGCGATCATGACCATGGGAAATTTTTCTAGTACCCTAGCTGTCATCATGACAGCCCAGTACCCACAATTTCCTAGACTATACTAGTATGGACCACATTCATCGACCGTCTGAAGACTCCCCGTGTTTTCTCAACACGCGTTGTACGATAATCAGATGTAGTCGATGGTGTTGCACAATGGATATAGGTTATTTCCGATACATGCGTCTCCATGAGCCACTCATGTCTCTGAACGCCAAAAGCACATCTTTAGCACAGATGGACTCGTGGCGCATAGAGGGGGGGGTGATGTGGAGGACACATGTCGGAATATATAACCAACCATTTGTGCGCATACAAAGTATAGGAAGATATGATTCCTCGGGGTAACTTGCCATCGGGAGAAGTGGCAAGTAAAGCACCGAGGAGATTTGTCTCTTCCGAAGTTCATGGCCGCTTGTCGAGGGAAGAGATGGGGGAGCCTCCGGCTCGCCCCTCTCGACCCTCTGGTCACTCTCTTCTCTACCTCTCTCCTCGTTACATCTCACGAAAGGAAAGCCACCCTTGGCAGTGGGAGAATACTGCAAAAGCACCGGCCTCTGTCTCTGACAGAGACTAGTGTCCTCACGGAGGTAGGAAAAAAAAACGGTAACCTGGTTGCCGAGTTCACGAAGTGAATTGGCTTGNTTGGGAGGGGGTTCGGAGCACCGCAGATTTCTGATGTCATGGGGGTATCGCACCATCACGTTTCTTGTTGGGGCGTTTCTTACGTTGTGGCCGAGATTGAGCTATGTCCTAGCCCTTTTTTCTTATTTTTCGTACAAAGTTGAGCCTTTTTTCTCGACATAATTTTTTTGACCTGCGGGCGCTACCTGTATTTGTACGCGAAGGGAAGGGTGACGAGTACCGTGAGTCGTAGTACCTTTTTTCGAAGACCGTTCATTCGTTTACTCATGACACTCAACTGAGCCGTAGAGTCAAGCCGCGGGGGGAGGTTCAGGGAACTCTTCGCAATATGTGGAAGGAAAAGCCATCAGGGTAGCTTTTGGTCTCCGCCGGGACGACAGTGGTATGTACTGGTGTTCCTCGGTGCGACGCTGAAATACGCTCTTTTGTTTTTTGTTTCACAAGAATGAGATAAATATATGTCTCTACTTGGACTTTCCTCCTTCTTCCGCTGCCAGCTATGCAGTACATTAGTTGGCCAAGTACAAACTTGTGTACTGTAGTTGTTTTCAACACGTCCTTGACTGCTGTACATCTCCTTTCAAGTATTGTAAAAATGTTCGACGTCAACCAATGGTTGCCAGTCGTCTCGGCGATGCTGACTTTTTGTACCACCCCCTTCCTTAGCAAAAGACGCGTAGTTTGAGGTAAAGCATGCCTCTCTTGGCCCCGGGGATGGTGAGCTATCGTCCCCTGATTTCTAAGGACGCAACCCCGCGTTAAGGACGCTTTTTTCCAGGAACAACCATATGCGTCCTTAAAGCGGGGTCGACTGTGGAGCAGTAGTATGCATATAAAAATATAAATAAAATATCGTAATTTCCCATCAGATCTTCGAAAGGTCGCACTCATTGCAAAACCTGCACGTCGAAAGGGCGCGTGGAGACGTCAAATGCGCTGTAGGAATCGTCTGAATGTTTGAATGCTTGAGTGCGTCTCCCGCGTGGGGTCGTGGGGGGCAGTGGGCTAACAGCCAGCAAGATCAATTGAGCAACGTCAGCCCGACCAACAAGTATTCAAACGTACTACAAGTACGTACGCTACCGAGGTTGTCGCACACGCACAATGCAGAGTACAGCAGTAGTAGATAATTGTGAGATCAAGGTTACTCACCCTTTGAGCAGTGACCTCGTCCATATCATCGCTTCGTGTACGCCGCTTGGTTTTGCCGGCGCTGCTCACAGCACCGCTGGTAGTAGAGGGTGACTTTTGGGCACGGCGATCACGGGTGCGTGATGTTGCTGCTGGTCCCGTGGACAATTGGCTACTTAATGGGACACAAGAGAGAAGCAAGAGCGCGCAGTAGTACTTCATGGTGTCTTTCTCACTGCCTCTCCCAGACGCTCCCAGGTTGGCGCTCTCTCGCTCTCTCCGTGTCTACAGGGTGGCCTCTGGTCTCGATAGCCTCGCCTGACCTCGTCTCGTGCTGTGCGGGCGTGCAAAAGGGGGGGGTCGCTGGATTGTATCGGGTCGTATCACAGCCAGGCTCTTAGCCCACCACAAGCCTCCACACGCAGCACAAGCAACTGAACTGCCGCTGCCTCCAGCACCCACCCACACCCACGCGCCAACCTTTTGTTTCGGGCATACATCATGGGTCTCGTGGAAAAGGCGGTTTACCGAGCAGTGCTGCGTAAAGCGCGGCTGTTCGACAAGAACATAGCAGCCAAGGTGAGCAAACTACTGCTTTACATAATACTATGACCTCTATAAGCTGCTGTTTGTTTGCTATCTCCACACACGTCGGATGCCTTGCACCTCAAACCTGTTGAAAGGAAGCCTGTCGCACGTTGCTCATCTGTTTGTCATTGCGCGTGCTTCTCCATAAAATGCATCATTGGGATATATTTGCACCAGAAGAGTAGTGCTAATTTTGCTAACTCTACACGTTGGTCGGGAACATCCACGTACCCCGAACGGGGGTAAATAAAAAAATAGTTGAGGGCCCCCCAGTAGTCTACTGCACTCCTGATGAAAAAAAAAAGAAGTGGCTCAACACAAAAAATGGCAGCCCACCGGCGATCAGACGTCCGCACTGCCACTTTTGTCGGCGTACAGGTGAAATAGACCAGTAGCTATTCACGAAAGCTAGTTTCACGGAATTCCGTTGACTATAGCTCGAGAACTGCTCGGCGCAGGCTCCGAGACTGCCGAAAAAATGTGATCCATGCCCCTGCTGCGGCCGAACCTCCTGTGGTGTGCACGCGCGGCAAGCTTAACACGAGAGCGCGCCCTATACCTAACCGATTGACACGAAACTTTACACAATTACGAACAATGACACGAGGAGTACACATATCGAGTATTGTGTCCAGAAGTGCTTCCGAGACAGAGGTACTTAGCGCTTGGAAAAAGAGGTATTGCGCGGATCAAGCGTGCTTACCTTTGGATGCGCTACTCGTGGTATGAGACACAGGATGGGCTTGCTGTGAGGCTTGCGGTTCTCCTGCAATGTGAACTTTGGTGCAACACGCAGTACAGGTGAAGTAATTGCAAATGGCGTGCGTCCATATTTGAACTGAAAACGGTTACTTGATCTCCTGTAGTGTTGCGCCGCCATACACACACATCGAAGGACAAAGTCACGTGAAGAAAATATGGCGCACACGCACGCAGCACCAGCTGCGGCCGTCAGGATGTNGTTGTGTCGTCGTGCATCTTTCGAAAACAAGTAAAGAACGAAACTGAAGTACCCCTACGTGAGTTCGCGTGTTTCCATTCAGACTCCCCCCCCCCCCCCGCCCGCACGAACAAGAGATTTGCTAACAACTTCAATGAACGTGAGATAATTCGTCAGGTGGACCTACTGACGCAGAGAATATACACTAAAAAAAATTGAGGGTGAAGCTCCAAAAACAACGTCGTTTGCCGTGTGTGTATCTTTGTGCACACCATGATGATACCGTAGGCCCAACGCAAGAATTTTAAACTTGACGAGTAAAGGAATCCGACACTATATATCTACACCACATGTAACCTTGAGAAAAAACAAGCACTTGAATCGCTACATTCCCGGACGCGGGGAACAATAAGCGTAGGGAGACATAATCAATACTCCCGAAACCCCGCCGTGCCACTGCCTGAACCCTGCGCCAACGCCATTGTTGCCGCAGCCGATATCCGCTTCACCCGGAAATATGCTCGAAACCCAAGCTGGGGGTCGAAGCCAGTAAGTCCTGACCAACGCCGAACGGGGGAGCCGCCATTGGACGAAATCATCTCGCGGAAGTTTGTCACCTGAAACACGATACGCAGACCGCATTATGTGGGCTCGGTATGGCACCGGCGCGATACACCAACATGATCGGCCAAGTGCTCGGCGTATTCCTCCTGGCACACAGCCCAAAACGCCTCCCACATCGCACTTAGGTGGTTGTGTGCTCGACGGTAGTTACTCCCGTCCGCCGACTTCTTGTTGTCCGTGCCCAATTCTTCGGCTACATGCTCCACCCCAGCCCCCCAATATCGCCTCAGAAGAGCCTTAGTCATGTGCGAGAGGAAATGCCAATCGCCCGGGTAGCGACGGACTTGGCGGTACTCCTCTGGGTTTTGCTTCATGATATGATACAGGAACCTGTAGGTCTCCTCGTCCCCGGCGATGATGCACGGGGCACCCTCCTCACCGGCTGAGGTATAACGCCACATTTCCAGGATACGGTCGATTGCAGCCTTGTTGTCGGTATACCTCTTCGTAGATCCTCGCTGGATAAACGCGTATCGTCCGTCGGCCTCAGATCTTTCGTCACGTGTTACGAGCTGCGTCGGATACACATGTGCATACGAACAAGGAAATCATTTGAGCATGTGCCTATTCACAGCATTTTTGACACATCTGCTTCACCGCTACAGGTTGAGATAGTTCTACTTTCCAAAACATTATCCTGACATCCTGACGATACAAGTTCGCTCGTGTGCACATCGTTCCAACAATCGAGCCCCCTCAGTCAAAGGATGGCCCGGGATATTGAAGGGGACACCGTGTGCGTTCGACCGGTGTATGCCCTCCGTTAAACCTTTTACCCTTCAAAATCAATCTGGAGAGCATGCCGTTCCAGCATCGGAATGGGTTGCCACGACTTGGAAAAAAATAAATAAATAGAAACGTCGTATACTCTTTTACGCGAGGGACGGGTAAATGTTGTGCTGTACATGTTGGAGATTATCGCGTCTTGTGGCAAGTTTGAACATGCTCTTAAGATGACTCTCAAGTCGAAATAATATGCTTAACTTGCGGAGTTCAGTTTCGACGCATGTCCAAGGGCTATCCTCACTTGATCTGCTCAACACATTGTCGACGGCGGCGCGGAGAAGTGTCCGCTCGAAATCCTTGAACCGCCGGTCTCCCTCCTCTTGGTCCAGCCCCTTTGTAATCTGATCCAGCGCAAGAGATCTGCGTATCCTAAGCGAAGCGGCGTCTTGCATCCTACCCGCATCGTCCCCCACCGTCACAGCTGTTGCGGCTATGAACGAAATATGCGGTTCTTCCCCCTGGCGCTCACCGACCCGCGGGTCGTGATCGCAGTTGTCGTTTGCAATTGCCGCGCATTGGGCTCTTTTGGGGAGAATGTCCTTGTCCTGCCCCGGCCGGGATCCTCACTCCCTATATCGGTAATCTCGGGGTACAGTGGCATGTTCGACATACCTTGGAAGAGTCCAACCAATGTCGGGGGCATCTCAGCTAGGGCATCTCGCACTGGTTTCACGGGTGCGGCCAACTCCACGCTGTACTTGTGCTTTTGCCGTCGGATGCGGGCATTCTTGAGATCTGGATGCTGATCGACATCGGCCCGAACAATTTCCGCCGCCGCACGCACGATCTCCATCCTCGTGTCTGCCTCTTTCGCTTCTTCGAGAAGACGCCTCACTATCTGCAGGGACGTATTTCCACCGGACGTGGGGTTTGCCGGCGTGCTCGGACCATCGAACGTGTTCGTCAGGCGCGCCCGTAGGGCGAGGGATGCGATAACCTCGTCCCGAGCGTTGACCGGGAAGAGACACAGTAGTCGTTGGCGCCCGTCTCCAAAGCCCCCTTCGCTGCTGACCACCCGCGCTTGGCTCCCATCAGCGCTCGCGATGCTCTCGAACATCTGGCGCACGGCCTTCCGCCCGCTCCTACGCTCAAGTTCTTGGTCACCATCCTTTGCGCGCTCAGCTGAGAGCCAGTCGAACACATCCTCCCAGTAAAGGATGTCCCCGCGAGCTACGGCTTTAATCACCAACGCGCGCACCCGGCTGAACGGCTTCTCCGGCGCCGGTTCATCGGCTTTAGGTCGGCCCTAGTTGCTCGATGTCGCAACCTTTTTTTGAGTAGCTTCTCCGATAGCCCGGATTCGAGCTTGATTGCAGGCCTGGCAGTACCAAGCTTGTGTGCGTCCTGATCCACCACCCTCCGTTATGTTATCGTCCACGACGTCCACACTGTACCACCTCTTCTGGTCCTTCACAGGGTACCCTCTCTTGCACACGCTACATGTTCGGAGCTCCGGCTTTGCTTCCCTCTCGAGAAGAAAACCGTAGAAACAATCTCGGCGTTGGCAAATGCAGTCGTTGCTGGGACAAAATCCTCGCACGAGAGGTAGAGGCAGCTCCCCCTCTCCTTCTTGGTACTCGGCCAAAAACAACCGTGTCGCTCGTTCAAGCCGTGGCCCTCTGAGGTGCGTGAAGCCAGCTAAGCCCTCCGACCTATGGCATGCGGAGCATAGCTTGTCACTGACGGCGTGCACTACGCCTGAGGGGCACATGCTGCATTCGAGACCCGGGTTGTTTGTGAACCAACCGCACTCCGCACGCCTACAAGGTTTCTTGCGTGTTTTTTTCTCGGCTCCGATCTGAGTATTCCTAACTCCAGGATCAGACTGTCTTCGCGCTGCACTCCGCTTGACGGAGCGAGAGCCAGCTGTTCCAAGCTTTCCACCGCAACTTCGACGCCGGAATTCAACTGTCCGCTTGCCTCCAGACTCCAACTTCTCACGTTCAGCTCCGGCAATCTCTCGCTCTCTGCGGACCTTAGCCTGTTGCCTCGCCTCCTTTTGCTGCTCACTGTACTCCTCGTCTGCCATCCCCCCCTCAAAGACGGCTTGCCGCGTATGCCCCAGCGTCCGTCTCTTTCTGCGTTTCCTACCGGATCCTGTACGGCTTCCCGGATCTCGGCCACGCGCGCCGGATCCCTCCACTCGCTTAGTTGCGACGCCAGGCGTACTTGCGGGTGTAGTCTCTGGGGAAGCGGTGCCCAGGCCGCCTCCCCGTTGACAAGTAGCCGTAGACCCCCCCCCGCTGCTACCATTAACAGGATTCGACGGAGTTCGTGGGGGGCGCGTCCTCCTTGGTGACGCTTTTCCTTCAGCGGGACTGCATGTCCGTCCACGTCTTGGTTCAGGGCGAGGAGACGCAGGTGGTGTCACGGTCTGCTCTGCATGGCTCTTGTCGCCGCTCCTCCCCCCCCGCTGCCCGCTACTCCTACTACGTCTCATCGCGCGTCGGCTCGATCCTCCCCCTACGGACAGGTCCTAGGCCAAGGATACCCTGAAATCATCACGCGCACAAAAAGGAAGTAGTTAACTCGGCATTGTCCGTAGTGTATAGATAATAGGTACCATGACACTCACACAGTCATTCATGGCATCCCATCTCAAAGTCAGGTGCCTGTCTCCATATTTAACCATAAAATCAATTCAATATTCGTACCTGGAAGGATACTGCTCAAAACGTTTCAGGAGTATCGAAAGTAATCCAAATAATACAAATCAGGGGGGGGGGTCTAGTTCGTGTACAGTATCGAAGTACCGCGGACCATCCACAAAGATGCGTTCGTTTCGAACGTCAACTTCTCTAGATGTGGTCTGGAGTTCAGAAAAGTCGCTTCCACCCTCTCTTGATCACCAAAAACCATGGACCCTGCTCCGACAGATAGTGAGCGTATCCCGCCGCGTGCTTTCTGATATTTCCACAGCAGTTTGACATGTGTTGTGTATGTTTACTTTAAGCAACCCAATCTGCTGTGTTGCGGTGCATGTATGCAGACCTGCGTTTCGGATCTTTCCAGCATAGCACGACAATATTGAACTTGGATCTCAACATGCTTATCTTCTGACGTATCAAATCGCTCCAAACCTTTTGTAAAAGATGTCAACAGTACCTGAGTGTGATGTTGGCGACGTTTCGTTGCAACACGATAGACTCGTGGAGAGACCGCAGCGCATCCGACCCTTACTCGGAGATTTTCGAGTTGTCCTACGGTGGTACGCCCTGAGAAAAAACTGGAAATCTCCCCCTACGGACTTGCCCCGACTGTAAAACAAAGGCTGCACGGTTGACAGATAGCTCCCTCACCTATCTCAGCCGGAATATCGACGCTCCCAGCAGGGGATGGCTTCCTGCCCGAGGCGTTATGTCTCACACTTATTTTTGTTTTGTCAGACGTGCAGCACTGCCCCAGAACAGCAAGTTCGATTTGACTAATTTTCAAAACATACGCAAGAGCACCAGAAACTGTACAACAGGCACACAAGACCAGTCGGAAGGCATCGCAAAAAACAGAAATCATTGAATCCCGCACAGGGCGACAGTAGAGGCTGCTCAAAACATACATTTCACGCGTCTACCTCCACACGTTTTTTTGAAATCAAGATAGAAGTTCGCCCTATTCTCATTTCAACGCAAAAGAGCCAAAACGGCAGGCGTTCAAATAAGGTCGTTGTTGCCAGGAACCTGGTAGTTAGTACTGCTATCAGTAGAGGACACCATGAAGAGGCGTCGTGCGTGTGGGCACGTTCAGGTTTGCTACTGGAGCTGAAATGTCGAAGGTCGCAGCAACCTCTGAAAACAGTCCGAAATCTGCGCCGGAACCAAGCGGCATCCAACATTTGTCACAGCCGTGCTCACCGCCACGGACCCCAATCTCCTGAAATGTGCGTTTACAGCAGTAGCTCATGCCACGAGCTACCGCGGACAACCCTCCGTTTAGGGTTGACGGTCCGTGGCGGTGTGCACGGCTGTGACAAATGTTGATGCCGCTCGGTGCCGGCGCAGATTTCGGACTGTTTTCAGAGGTTGCTGCGACCTTCGACATTTCAGCTCCAGTAGCAAACCTGAACGTGGCCACACGCACGACGCCTCTTCAAGGTGTCCTCTACTGATAATAGTACTTATTTCCACGTTCCTCCTGCGGGAAGGTTGTTTTCTTCTTTATCTTGGCTTAAAATATTAGAAAAGAGCTAGCGTCACGACCCCTGTTCTGGGTGCCCTTATCAGTTGTTGGTGTGTGGATGAATGTCCTGTACCCCGCACTTTACAGCAGTAGTATACCAAATGGTACATCGCTGTTGGCAACTAACCTAACCTCTGACAAGTTGACGAGCGTGGGCAACAACAGGCTCAAGCGACCACGCTAGTTGTGACTGCTGCAGAGTCGAGGGAGGCGCCGTGCAGATTTACTTGGTGGGCAGCGGGTGGGATGAGACTCGGGTTGTGAAGGTTTTATATCCTCCTCTACTGCTGTACGCCGAATCCTTGAGTTTCTCGCGATACTGCTCACCAGGCCCTCATACAGCGGCATGGTATCGTCCGACCACCGTTGACCGACTCGGACGCTATCGGGGGGGATCGGCGTCTATATGCGGCTGCCTTGGAGGTGGTTGTGGGCAGCCACTGCCATGTCAGGTGGGGCTTTTCGAAATTGTTGCGCGGCGGTGTCTGTACACTCCCAACGCTGCAACGCTGCTCACGTTAGACGAACGCAAGGAATCCCCAATACAACGAAAAATAGGTGCATCTCGTCTAAGCTACGTCCTTCTACTGCTGTGTGTCAGATGTTCGCATTGACCGCGGCACTACTTTCCACGCGCTTTGCTACGGCCGTTGCAACCTTTTGCTCTTCCACGATCCGCTCCGTAGGCCTGAGCGACTAGAATGGTCTCTGCAGAGGCTAATTCGCACGATCCGCATGGCCGACCAGAACAACCTCGAGGTAGTTGCGGATAGGGCCGCGGCGAATGAAGCCAAGGAGGCCGAGGGCGTGCCACTGGAAGATAGAACAGTTTGGGAGCAAGATGCGATGGTAGCCATTTCACTCGAAATATTCTTCCCGGGGGCTTTGAAAGGCGTCGACGAGGCGGACAAGATTGGCGCAGGTGACATACGTACCACGGGTTGGGGCTGATGGTTCAGGCACATGCTTGTTGGTGATTCTCGATTATTCTACTCGAAGCTTCCCGGTTCGCCCAAGGCTCGCCTCGCGTAGGATCGGAGGTTATATTTTTTTGCCCTTGCTCCTCGCTGCGGAACATAAGCTGCACCAGCACGTTCATGCCTGTTGTAGGTGGGTCGTTCTGGTACCACATGATGGACGGAGTCGTGTGTGGAAAGGATGTACGTGGGAAAGATGGATTGCACGTAATGACCGCCGGTCCAGGCAGAGCGTGACTCTCTTGGTGTTCGTGCGCTGCAGGCTTTGCAGCCATCCGCGAGCTGTCTTCGAAGTGGGCATTGGCGGAATCCCTAGGGCTTACCGAGGACCTGGAGAACAACGGGCAAACGTCTTGCGTCAAACGACGAAGAAGAAAAAAGGTGGCCGGACCCAGGAACACGGTAGGTTTGTTGTAAGTACTGATTCCCGTGTGTCTTTAGGAATTTCGGGTGCCCGAGATTTTCCGATTTTCTGCTTCCCTCGCTCTGCGCAGGCAGATGGAGATGTTTATGCCATAACTCTCTCTCACGGTGTTCCTCCCCGTGCATGTATGACCATGTTTCAATCCATCGGACCGGATCGACGCCTCGGTCTTACTGCCTCAAGTCCACAAAGAGGGCACTGCGGGTACTGCGGCACCAGGAGCAACGTGTCAGGGTGGCAGGGGAGCTGAATACCCGATCACCGTCCCCATTGTCAGCAGGGAGGGGTTTCGAGCCGGACACTCGGAACAGTTTAACGCGGTCGGGGGTTGTGGTAGAGCCCACAGGAACGCCAGCCAAGGGCGTCTACCTGATTTCACACCCACTGTCGTTTCTTAACGCGCCCGAGGAGATGTTTCATCGCTCAGTGGTACTACTGGTCGACCACTCGCCGTTGGGGTCGTACGGCCTGGTCGTGAACAAGGACAAGGGCGAGACACTGGAAGAAGCCTTGTGCGAGGATGCGCTCCCGTTGGCATCTGATGCACTGCAGCAAGTGCTGAAAAATCCTGTCAGAGTTGGGGGCCCCGTCATGTCGCGCCTGGCTTGGCTGCACCCTTACAAGGAGGTCGGGGGAGTTCCGTTGGCCGAGGGCGCCGAGAAACCGGTAAGTACATTCTCCAGCGATGACATGCATAGTAGTGTAGCTTCAGAACGTTGTGGACCCACCCACGGGGTGTTGGGCGATTGGCGCTTGCAGCCGGTCGTTTGATCGTTGTTGGCACCGTCCTAATTCATTCTCGGACGCTTCGTCGCTAGCCTTGGTTGTTTCTCACCCAGAGATGATTGGACTGGTTAGATGTGTTGGAGAGACTGGATTGCGACCGAAGCGTCGCCCTTCGGGAAGGAACGTGACTTATAGTATGTCAGCGAATATGCACGTGTTTTCATGTTGTACAGCAGTAGACCAGTGCGTGCCGGCGCGCGCCGTTTCGTGATTACTTCAGTTTCTTCAAGCTACGCAGCATGAGGTTGCACGTGTGATGCCCGTCCGTGGTGTCCGGTTCGTTTGATTAATTTGTTTGCGTGCGACAGTCGCTTCGCGGTCGTGTGTTCGTTCAGTAGCTGCGGCTGATATTCCACGTGAACGGGTCACTTGTTTGGTCAAAACTGAAGCGTGTACGGTGACTCTCTTGGTTCGTTGCTCAGGTGTTCTTCTGCGGAAAGATGGAGAAAGCGGCCGAGCTATTGACCAAGGGTACCGCTAAACCGGCTGATTTCTCCCTGGTGGTAGGCGCATCAGCATGGGATGTGAGTCGATTTTGCGGAAATGGTAGATATACCGAAAATGGTGGACAATGAGCGGGACAAACACGATTCCTACAAGCGCCCCTGGAAAGGTCCGCTCTCTTACCCTTGCCACTGATTCTGTATCTTGTGTGCTTGATGTTTGTGGATCGATGTCCCTTTGAATTGTCGTGCCCCTGATTCCCATTTTATCACGATATCACGTAGAGCGGCCTCTTTCCCACCGCATGGCGTGCCTCTCTCTCCCCATCCCAGCTTCCACTCCACTCTCATCATTTTTCGGCGAAAGACACGGCCTGACGTGTCGTAGACTTCTTGCATGCTGTTGATTCTGAGAGTTGTCATTCCTCGTTGACGAGACAAGATTACTGTTGGTCCTGCAGACATGTACAGGAGCTCCAAATATCACCTAACCACCCAGTACATTAAACGCAGAATGAGATAGTACTTGTGCGGAGCTCGGTGGCGTAATCGCGCAGTGATGCCGCACTTCCACGCTGCTGATCGCTGTGTGTCAACGTGTTTGACTCCCCCGCTCTTGTTCCTCTTGGTCTTGATACTCAGGCTGGCCAACTGCAAGGCGAATTGAACCACGGCTTATGGATCATGGCGAAGGTACGTATCTTTTTCTCGGAACATGGATCCATGAAGAATGCGCAACAGATACTCCAGGCAGTCCCAAGCCCGGTACTGTGCTCTCTCAGCAACCTATTCTGCTACCTACAGATCGCTCCTGTCATGCGTTTTTTGCGTGGGGCTGTTCAGCCTCGCTGTTCTCGGCTGAACAGTTGTGCAACAGCAGTACATGTAGCTCAGTTTGCGTGTTGTTCGGCACGATCACCTGCCTGTGTCCCGTGTGATGAAAACATTACATTTTGCTCCATATTCATGTGCTGCATGTGTTGAGTTTTTGGATGAGGACACAGCGACAGCGGGGCATTTTGGAAAGCACAATTAGCTGGTTGCACGCATTTCCTCCTCTCTTCCCTGCTCCAACATGGCGCCACGATGCACCCCACTTCGAACGACGTACCCCCAGGCACCGGCAAGTTTCGCCTTGGCTGGGGGCGAAGACATGTGGCGAGACATGTTGGAAGCTATGGGAGGACCGTACGCTGCGATGTCCCGAGTGCCCCACGGCCGGCAGTGGGCAAGGGCCGGGGTGAAGATGTCACCGTCTGACTGGCCATGATCTATTGCTGTGGCTTGTACAATTCGTAGGGTTCCCTTGGTGTTTCTTGTGGATGTATGCCGTGCGAGGGATGCGGCCTGTGTTCAGCTACGCGTCACGTGTGTTTCGTGATTGAGCCTTGACCACCCAACCCAGGGTTACCAGCCTCTTGCACGTGGCACCTCGGAATTACTTCGCGAATGGAAAAGCTAGGCACACGCGGTATGCAGCACAATTTTGCTCACCGTTAAGACTAAGCTGGGCGTGTGCGTGGGCCTGCAGGCCACGTGTGTATGTATCCCGTGTATCGCTTATTCCCCGCGTGCGAGCGATGAATGTCGTCGAGTCTCTCACACACCTGGCCGAATAACAGGAAGATCAACCTCTTTTTCCAAGTCCGATTCTTGCCATAAGCAGTAGCTATAGAATCTGCTCCACGCCGGTTTTACTGACCGTGTCATAGTGCAAGCCCGTAGCAGGCAGGTTTGTTCTGGTGAGACGCGCACAGACGGATAGATTCGAAAGTTGCTGGTTGAGATATGTCTCATCGAAGTCGGGTGATTATCTCTCTCTCCCTCCCTCTCTGTATCTCTGCGTCCCAGTGGGTCGCATTTTGTGTCGTAAAATTGCCGCGGACTTGGAATAGTGACTACCGTACCTTCGCAACCCCATTATTTTTCCCGTATCTTTGCCGGGAACGCACGTCTTGACCTACAGCAATGCTAGATTCCTTGATGGCACTTCAATCAACGCCGCGCGTCCGCGATCAGTTTATTTCGTTTTCGTCAAGAAGCACACTCTGAGACTCGCACTGTTGTACGTTACTTAATCTTGTGGCCTCTCTCCTCTAGTCTACCCACCACACGGAGCTACAGCATACGCATGCATATTCATTGCCATTGGTCAGCCGGTTAGCACCGTCGCGCCATTCAAAGAAACACACAACGTACCGGACAGGGTTCTTAATTTGAAAAAAGTGATTATAGTACAGCAGTTGCTGTGTATGCAAGGTCGACAAACTATCCTATCCACGAAATGTGGAGCAGGAGAGGGGGGCTGAGAAAAAGAAAGGTAAAGCTTCTTGAATGATGAAAATGTCGGCGAGAAGTTACTTGCACTCCTCATGGATACATTTAAATTCTTTGATTTCACTGCATGTCATCCTCAAGAAGATGGTCTGCATTCGGCGTAGCCTGTTAATGCTTCGTACCGTTCATGGTGATATTTCAAAAGAGCGGCGATCGATCGCGCCGTCTCATCATCATATATACCATCATCGCTCGATCGACCAGAAAGGAGGGGTCGACTTTCAATTTCATTGTGCACTCTGCACATTGAAAAATGGCTGGTCATGGTGGTGTCGTTGTCACAGCAGTGTTGTCTTCACATTGAATATCATTCAGGCACGGATTCCCGTCGCCACCAAGAAAGGGATCTGTGCATATCGGGGGCATGTCTACACCCTGGATTGTTTGTGTTTCTCAATGTCCCAGTAATCAATGCAAAATGTCCGGAGTTTGCGGAGGGAGGAGGGGGCACACGGTTGTATTGACATTCGCGGACCCCACCCCCAACCGTGGCCTGGGGAACGAACAGGAGACGGCGCCGCCACGCCGCACTGCATTCTGGTTACGGAAGGAGGGACGCGCGAGCGGTCAGAAGTTCCCGGTGTGTGGTGTGGGGCAAAAAGGAGATGGGTGGATATTCTAGCACGCCCCGAAAAGGGAAAACCTCGGAGGAAGAAGGAGACGAAAGCTTATTCTACGCTGCAAGTGGGATGCAAGTGAGCTAACTCTGAAGAGTCTCCGTGATTCTCCTGCTTGCGTCGGTGTGTGCTCTCTTCACCAGCTGTCGGGCAGGACGTAGCACCCTGCCAAGACAGGGTAGCAACAAGCCGGGCGCTCTTCCACGAGCTTTGACGTAATGATGTGTTCTCATTTTCGCCTCCATTGCTATATACTACAGACATTGGTACACAGAGCGCAGCACACAGAGAACTCGTACATCCTGGCCAAGGTATGTAGGCTGCTTTGTTTTCGGTAGGTCGCGCTTGCCTTCGAAACGGGACGTCAAGATGCACTCGCAGGAGAACTAAATGTCGCGTGCAGAGCATTACTCAGGTATAATGCACTTTCGTCTGGCCGCAGACACAGAAAATAGCGAGGGCACAGGCGTCTTGTTGTGGATGCCAGAAAAAAACGGGCACACGGGCAGTTGTTGAGAGCAGCAGATTAGTCTTATCAATCATCGACCCGGCTGTATTTGCGCCAACAGGGGCAGGTATGGTGTGTGGGTGAAGGCCTTGCTTGCCGCGGTTGAGAGAGGGAAGAAAATGTCATCAAGAACGTTGATGAGGTTTTTCGCTAGTGGATTGTGCCTGTACCAAGCATCCTGTTGCGTTAGCACTATGGTATGTATTGAAATTTTTTTCTTCCAGGTGAAATATGAGACGGTTGTCTCCAGTTTCACGTTTAAGCAAGTTCCCTTTGGGATGTGTGGTGTGGATACACACCGGTTCACCCTCTAGTGGAGAGGCTGACGAGTACGGATAGTTGACTTGTGTGAGTGTGTCAGGTGGGGAGTAACCTTGTGTTAACGCAAGGTTCAGCATCCAACCTGCACTGACTCTATCTGTGGTAACACCCCGAAGGTAGATCTCCGACAGGTCATCTGACGTCACAATCTACGACAGTCGGAGGTGACATTCACAGAAAGTACTAATTTAACTTGTGTGACGAAAACCGCTGCTGTGCGTGGAGTATGGAGGACGTTCAACATACCAACACACACCAGGTGTCCACGGTGCGTGCGATCAGCAGGGCAACACACACGTGTTGTTACACTATGAAAAAGTGCACGTTTTTTCCAACACTTGGGAGGAACACGTTGTTTACATCGAGTAATTTTTGTTTTGAATACCAACTGATGGCCATATGCACGAGCTGGTCATCTCAAAGGTAAGAATACGGCGTGTTTCGTCCCGTCCATGGTACTGCAGTCATGAGGCTCTATCGAAACGTATGGCGTGACAACACATTCCTCGGAGAGGTGCAACAACATTCGCCTGGGACCACCAGCAAAGGGCTTGAACCTGTAGGTGTTCCGGCCTTTCCTCCGTCCAAAGAAAAACCAGAGGGCGTTGTAAACAACTCGCGGACTGAGGGTATGACTTGCTTGAGAGTGTACTCTACTTGCGTGGTCTGCCACGGTCTGTACGTCTGTGTATGGAGCACGAGGTAGTAGCTCAATTGTGCGAAGCAGGGTCCAATTCGGAGGTAGTTGAAAAAAGATTCTCCCATTGTTGTAAAACAAAAGTTGGTGTTGTCCCGTGCTCTCCTGTAAGAACATGCGGCAGCAACAAGGGCACAGCATAGTAGCACCAAAAGCCACTTGCAAAGGTTCAATATTTTTCCTGAAAGCATGCTGTCACCAACCGTTGGCGGAGGGATCACGTGTTACCAAAGTCGCCCCTTCTTGTGGTGAGGCTGTGAGAGGTTTGTTTTTGATCTGGTCGTGTCTCCCCTACTCCCACGACGACATACACTTCAGAGCCTAGCTTCTCAGACCCCACTGCTTGCGCAGAAATCTCTGATGCGTCTATCAGTCGCGCGCGATTCTCTAAGGCAACAGCTGTTGCGGGCACCCACGTAGGCCTTGACGTTACGAGACCCCTACGCCGGAACCTGTGAGCCTCGTGGCCTGCACCATGTACTGTACGCTTACAATATCAAATGGCGATCATGCTCGTGCAGTATGGTTTGGAGGTAGCTTTGTATTTCTGGGCTTCGCAGGTACAATGCGCTAGCGTGTTTTCATCTCGTCGGATACCCCTTTCCGTGGTGTACAGCTTGCAGAGTGGATTTTGCTGTCAGTTTGCGACATCGGCGTGTAGTATCTGTGGTAGGGGTACGATGCGCGCCGTAATCCAGCCTTGCACGCGTTCTGCTCGATCGCTCCTTAATGTTCGCCTCTGTTAAATGTTCGCCTCTTTTCTCTGACCTGTCCGGGATGTGCTGGTACAGGGATGGCGAGCATCGATGGAAGACGCTCATATCGCTCTGCTCAAGGTTCCGCATGGCCAACCCCCAACTTCGGCTGCAATAGGCGCTGCAAGAATAGGCCTTTTCAACAACCACAGTCACAAGCCCCCGCTCAGAAGCAGCGGCAGCCGAGGTAGTGTCATCACAGCTGTAGGCGATTCAAACGGCCCCTCAGCATCAGGTGCCCAGGCAGCACGACGTCGGGCGGAGACTTTTTCGGCAGGAGACACTGGGGGACTCTCTCAGCAGGGCCGCCTTAAAGATGAGACAGGCTCACAGCAGACCGCAGCAATTAGCAGGGAGGGTCCAAGGCGAGGGTCTACTGGGGCAGTGAAAGGGAGGACCGGCTTTGCAGCCGCGTCAGACGATAGTGGCGGCGGGGGTGATGGAAGCAGCAGCGTCGGTGCGGGGTGGAAAGCGGTGGACTTGTTGGAAGATGCGGCTCTGTTTGGGGTGTTCGACGGACACGGGGGCAAAGCGGTCGCGGACTTTTGCAAGGAGCGGCTACCAGGTCAGTAGGAGCGAAAGGCTCGGTCTTGAAGGCTTGTAATTGACGCTTTTAACAACTTTCAAAAGTGGTTTTGCCCGCGTGGCTGGCCAGTAGTATGGTGTTCATGTTTGTCTACCGGTAGTTCGTGTCCAGTACCCACGATATCTTTCCTCCTGGGTGGTGTAGAGTGTCAATAGCTGGTGGTTACCACCTTGTTTCGTTCAAAATAGCACCATCGTCTTTGCTTTGCTTGAAACGGGGACGCCGCCCTCCCTGTGGCATGACACGGCCGCTCGTGTAGAGATGTTTTCACAAAACACGCTCGCTTTTCCACATGTTGGGGGCTCGTTGGTGGGTGTTGTGGTGTTCGCCGTGCAGTGTATTCTTTTCTCCATGTAGCATACGCTAGGTTGTCTAGTCATTGCCAGTCGTTCGGTAGGAAGTCGTGTCCCGCCGCAAAAAGACAAAGAGGATAGTCGTCGGTGCTCTTTAGGACGGGTGGAATCTCTTGACACGGACACATACAAGAATCACCCTGTTTTAGGCTTTGAATAGAGCGCGTGCCCGCTGTAGCAGGGGTGAATCGGCCTGGCACGTATGTACCCGCCCTACAGAGGACCCACAACTTTGGTGACAGAAACTTCGGCATCACGGGATGATTGTTCTTTTGTTTTACTATTATTAATATAAGAAGTAGAAGTATGCCGCGACAGGTGTCGAAGTCTCTGCTACCGAGCTGCTGCCAAGCGCCAAACACACGTAGTGGATCCGTCGCAAGTTTATTCATGAATCATGACGTGCTTTGTGCCAGGAGGCTAAATTTCGAGGCAGTATACTTGTTAATCTCTCTCCTCGATCGACCGATCCGCTCTGCAGGCCTGCTGGCCGCGTCGCCTGACATTCGCGCCGGCAACTGGAGGGACGGTTTTCCCCGCGTTTACCACGCCTTGGACGCGCTGTTGAAGTCCGGGGAAGGGCAGGAGAAAACCGGAGGGTGGGGAGGAGCCACTAAGGTTGATGGGATAGGTGTGGGTTGCACGATCGTGACAGCCCTGCTGGACCGGAAAAGAAGACAGGTATATACATGTAATGGTCATGCCGGGCGTTGACCTGGTCAACCGTATGCTGTGGGGTGTATGATATGAATTATTTGCCTTTCCAGCACTGAGTGGACACACTCGAGTATTCGCCTCGATCAGTCTGATGAGGTTTGAGTGGTACCATATTCTGCAGCTGTTTGTGCTACGGAGCTCGGGATTTGGTCCAGGGATAATGCACAAGACTTCAATTCGATTCTTGTCTAGCCCTTGAGGCGTCATTGGTATCGTTACCTCTCCCCCCCTCCCTTAACCCTCCAGTGCTACGTGGCGCACGCGGGTGACTCGCGGTGTGTGCTGTGCCGTGCTGGACGAGCCGTGCAGCTAACAAGAGATCACAAGCCAGGAATGCCGTCCGAGTATGCCAGAATAATGGTGAGAACGATGTGGACACAGCAGCACTCGTACTGAAGGAATAATGTAGGGTTAGTTGTCTTGTTGACTGCTGGCGGCCCCGAGAAGTAAAGGCGTGCTTTTTTTCCTCCAGTTTTTGGGAGTTCTGCCATTCGGGACTGCTGCTGTACTACGAGAGTCACTTGACACAAGTACAGGACTTCACTGTGGGATGACAGCGCAGCAAAGGGGCTGTCACAGACCATGCTACTCTTTCTCTTTGGCGATTAGGCTGAATGGCCTTTGGTCTTGTTTTGACTCACCAGCGCAATAACGCTTTTGTGAACCACTGCGTCACCCCCGTCATGATTTGCCAAGTCCCCGTATCCTTGAACCCTGTGCGCTCACTGGTTGCGTCTCCTGTCTTCCGCGTACGAAGAGGTTATTTTCGCTCTGTGCGTCGAGTCTGTGACTTGCCGCTATTAGTGCACACGAACATACGAGTTGGCTGAGCCAGGCATCATCTGGTAAAGTATCATGTTTGCCGCTGGTCCATATGGCCTGGGGGGCGCAATTGAACGGAACAGAGAAGGTGCTCTCCTTGTTGAGAACAGTAAGAAAAACCTCTCTTGCGTATTTCTTCGAGCACCAACCACTCTCTGCGTTACAAAAAAAGTTTGCTCGCGGGAGCTCGAAGGTTGGAAGTAAAATAATCCAATTTGTCTTTTGCTTTTTTGGCAGTACAATTTATTGTATTTCGAATTGACCCAACTGCTGCCTGTGAAACATGTAGTGGTGTTCGGCCGCACTTGAGAGTTGGTTTGGGGGTGGACGAGAGCCTGATGGGACCTTTCTTGAGTGCCATCCATGTGCGTGTATTGCCAATTGTATCCCACCCCCACCCAATGCTGTGACCTTGATGCTTCTCCTGCGATTCTGTGCGTTGCTGCTCACAGGCTGCCGGTGGGCATGTGTCGCGGGCTGGTCGAGTTAACGACAATTTGAACCTCTCTCGAGCCATCGGTGACATGGTGTACAAAAGAAACCACCTTCGGCAACCGAAAGACCAAATTATCTCCGCCGAGCCTGACGTTTGCAGGTGAGTCAAGTATGGACAACATCGACAAGGGGTGTGCGGTTCCTCTGGAGTCAAAGTACAGAAGCCATACTTCGAGTGATTGACGAGCAGTGCTTGCCGCCGTTATGTACAGTGGATGATTTCATTAATGAATCATGTGGTACTGACAAATCCGAAGCGCCAGCAATGCGCTCAACAAATGTAAATGGTGGCTGTCACGATGCTTGTAGGACCGGTGCTCTGTTTTACGGATAAAATCAACGTCGAAGACATGCCCCAGGGCTACAAATCGTTTTATCAGCCCACCCGGGAGATAACCCGTGAGTACCGCCTCGACCTAACCCTGACGTGGTCTGTCACCCCAGTGTTCGTTATGCGGTACGGCATGCGGCATGGTTGCTGGGCGCAGTTGTGGGGCAGCAACCCACCTCATGATCCCATGGGCTTTCACGCGATACCGCACGTGCACACCAATGGCAGGTTTCTGGTGACCCCCGGCGTGGACGAATTTTTGATACTGGCCTGCGACGGAGTGTGGGAAATGATGAACACGGCACAAGGTTGGTTACTTTGCCTTCCGTGCTTGGGAAAAAAGCTGATCGTCGGGCCTAACCTCGGGTAGCTAGTGTGTCCGATCGTGTGTGGTGCGATTGCTTTCATTCGGTGCCAGCACCACGTGTTCGCATTTGTCGAAACATTTCGTAGACATCGCCTCTGATCTCTCTTGAAGTATGTAGACGCCTGGCACGACGACAGGAGTGACTTTGACGTGCTTGAGCGTATAAATGGAGAGAGTAAGCGTGGCACCAACTCTTGGAACCCAACAGTCCCAACAAGGAAACCTGGTAGTACTTTTCCTGTCTGGATAAAGCGTGATCCCGTGGTCGCGCTAACCTGACATTTCATGCCCCACGCGCCGTCGTCCGGTCGTTGCCTTCTTGCTATCATAGTTGTGGCGTTCGTTCGGTCAGGTCTTCGCGCTGGTTCGGCCCCGCGAGAGGTCTGCGAGAGCCTCCTGGATGCTTGCCTCTCACCCGACCCAAAGGGCACGCGCTATGCTGGCTGCGACAACATGACGGTTGTGCTGGTTTTGCTGGATGGATGGGAGGGCGCGCTAGCCACCAAGGCCTACACGCCGGCCTTGACTTTTTCCGGGGGCAGAATCGGGAGCGTAGGAGAGGCTGCTGCAGCAATGTCTGCGACCCTGCCGAAGTTGCCTCGGCCATTGAGAAACGCTCGGCCTCCTCTTCCCGCTGAGTTTCGAGCGGCAATGTCTAACGGGACGACCGCACCAGCCCCTAAATCCGAGAGTGAATCGCAAGCCGCTGAAGAAGCTGGAGCGGCGAACAGAGAGAAACCTGCAGCACCTGCACCAGAAACAGAGCCGCCTGGCCATGGGAACGCAAGCCAACAAAACGCGACCGTGGGCGCAACTGAAAGTGCGGGGAAAATGGGCTGGACCCAGCGGAGAATAGCGGCAGGCAAAGTGGCGCCTCCCCGCACGGCCCACGGAATAGAGTTCGCACTCGCGTCGTTCTCGGCCCCCATTGTGGCCAAAGCTCCGGCAGCTGGCTCGCGCATGAGCACAGGGAGCATCAACCGCCGCGGCGTTGTTACCGCCGCTACCGGTGCCACGGCTGCCGCTGGTGACTTGGCCACGTCGGCGGTGGCCAAACAGCGGAATGCGTCACGAGCTAGCAGCAGCTCCGTTCCCCCAAACGCTCGACGGCGAAACAGCAACCATCCACGGTCGGCCACCGCGCCGATGTTGCCGTCCCCTTTGTGGCACCACCGCCAGCGCCGCGAACCTCCGGAAGAGCGAACTGCCGCTGCGGCGGCGATAGCCGTCCTGGCCGAAGTGGGCGCAGCCGGCGCCGTTGCTGCTTCCGCCTTGGCAGAAGAAACCGCGGCGCCATCATGTCAAAATCCCAGTGCCAACGGAAAGCCAAGTGGTATGGCGGAGGTCGACTCTACCGCAGAGGTATGCGGTCAAGGCAAGGCCGGGGAGGAGTCAGGCCGGCAAGCATCGCCATCAGAGGATACCGGCTTGGTGTTCGTGCCTGTCGAGCCGTCAGCGACACCTTCAGAGGTAACCGTCACTGCGACTGCGTCACCTCACCACCCCACCTAGGGGGCGGAGAGGCCGCACGTATGACTCTGCCTCGAGCTGGAGACACCGGTTAGGTCAAGGTCGTGTTTCACATAGTAGGTAGAAGTGCAAGTTCCGTCGGTGCGTCGGTAACAGCGTGAGTCGCCTGGTTCGGTAAATGTATGTGCTCAACGCACTTTTGCCCGTACACAGCGGCAGTGCCGCGATTGTCCATACACATATATCTTTCCGTGTCCTAGGCTTGTATCATTTGTAGACATGGGCTGTGCGCTCGAATGTACTTCGTAATACGGTTGAGCTTAGAATTTCCCAAACACAACAGTTGGGTTGCTTGGTTTTATTTGGTCAATTGGTTTTAATTGGTCATTTTTCTCGAGAAACGTGACCCCGATTGTAGTCGGCCAACTCTTTGGTGGAGCGTATGTTTACCAGTAGAAAGTAGAAAATGTGTGGAACAATGGCGATTGGTGGGCATACTTCGAGGAATCATTACAGAACACAAGTGAAAACCGCTTGTTTCTCGGGTGCACGCGATGCACGTTGCCGCAAGTTGAAGTCAACCCATTTTGTTATTAGACACGAAACTACATTAGAACGCCGTCCTTGGTGTGGCGCACTCGGTTTCCAAGCGTGCATGCCTCCCGTTCCTCACGTTCCTCACGTGGCTTGTCTACTCTGCTGCACGAGGACAAGGTATGTATCCCGGCGATGCCGATGCTGAGACCAACTACACCCGCACACATGTCGTGAAGCGACAACCGCAGCAGGACGCTTGTGCATTGAGCCATCACGACCTGTCGATCTTTTTGTAGCAATGAGCACGTCCGTTGAGCTTCGTCTTTTCTCCTTGCCTTGCTTCCTCTATGAAGAACATGAGCTGTCATTGCAAACAAGGCGGGCGAAGCATGATGAAATTTATCAGCAAGTGGCGTGACCGCGTTACTAGAGATCTGAACAAATGGGGTGGGTGCGAAGTAAATCGTGGTTAATACCAGCCTGATGTAGCTGCGGACAAGATCTACCCAACTAACCATTCTGAAGTCGAGCGAGTCGTAGAGCTAAGGTTCAGTTGACCAAATCTGCTGGGCTTGGCACCAAACCCTAACACCCCGCCCAAGTCAACACCTAGTCTCGGTCAAGGTTCAAGGTTCTGTGGAAAGAATTGAGGGGGTATGGGGGCCTTCCCTTGGCTCCTTGATCAACATCATGCACAAGTTCGAGAGATAGATGAAGGCCACCGAAAGCGTCACAGCACCGACCCCAGCGAGAGACTTTTTGTTTGTGCAACGCTTGCGGCTTATTGGCTGCCCCAAACCGAGCATCGGATATTGTTATCAGCCACGTATTCGCGGCTGAAAACGTTCGGTTAATGTCCCAGAGTGTCCCCTAGGACGAAGCACCCTCCTTGACTGGGCGGGAACACTTTTGATACGAACAATATTCGTCGCCGCACGATTTTGCCGTAGAGGATTCCCAAACCTTGAACATGACGGAACCTCGGGATTAAACAGGACCGCCGCCTTCGCGAATCTTTTATGCAAATCTCTACTCACGGCATAAAGAAAGCAAGCTGCAAATCTCGTACCCAAGGCGGATTTTTCACCGTACCGATACCTCGTTTTCTGCAGTTCTGATTCAGTCCTTCGGTTGGGTGGGAAATCTGAGCCCTGCATCTCTGAATTGCCACGATCCGGAGTGGGGACCGGCCCTGCTGCTTGCTGTTTCACTTGCCTGCACCCCGCTGAAGACAAACATGAAGCTTAATGCCACAGCAATCAGCGCTTCCCTTTCGAGAAAAATTCCCCCAGCCACGTGACCCGCCCCCTTTATGCCCACGGCGTAGCCGATCATGTTGACCAGGATCAGCGCCATCACGTTCGAAGTCGCGCCTAACGCCTCCATCATCCTGATCACAACCACAACACGGGGATATGCGACAACGTTATCAGAGATGGTATCCGCCGCGTACGCCCGTGCTTGCCTGGGCGGCCTGTGTGTGCCAGTGTGCTTGTGAATTTGCAGTAGTCGCAGTGATACCGGAGTGCTGAGGTGTTCGCAACAGATGCAACAGGCCAACGTCGGCAGCTAAAATGATCCAACATGCAGCTTTCGGCTGTCCGACCGTTACTCTCTACACGGTTCTACTACTGTTAGGGGTGTTAAAGCGGCGGAATTTGGGGCAAAAAAAATGTCCGGTCCATTCGGCAAAATTTGAGGGGGGCACGCGGATTTGGTTCTTTTTTTGGTTCTTGAGAATCCCGCTGTCAATACTGAATAAACTATACATCAAGTGAATTTGTTTGTACAGGTAGCTCTGCGTCCACACAGCAGCATGGCTCTTCATGCGTTACACACCCCTGGACACAGGTCCAATAGAGGTGACTGTAGGATTGGATTCTCTTGAAGTTAAAGGGCGGACGAGCAACACCAAAAAAACATGTTTTTTTGGGCTCTTTGCTCCACGCCCAAGGCGACCTTTGCTCCTCTCGAAAAAGCGAGCTTACAGCCCTCTACCTTGGGTTTACAGCTATACCACACAACAAACCGCATCCGAATCGCATCAGCCAACCACGAGATCTACATGTCTGAAAACGGCCCCTCCAGTGGGGCTGCAGCGCCCACACCAGCAGACCCTCCCAAAAAAAAAATCGAGGTCCGCGCCGTTCGGCAGCAGGAGGCGCGCTGCGCGAAAGCTGAATCAAAACAAAACGAAGTTTAAAGAGAGGACGGGGCAGTGTATGGTTGCCGCGTCAGCAGAAGATAACACGCGGCGCGCTATCGAACGCGGCAGCCTCACCGTCGTAGAGAGAATGCTGGAGGAAACGAAGGGGGAGTTGGTCAAGAGTAAGAAAATTGTGGAAGAGAGCCAGGCTCAACCTCGCTACCGCCGCCGCCGCCGCTGCTGCTGCTGCTGCTGCTGTTTTTTTCAGCAGCAGCAGCGGCGGCGGCAGGTGTCTGCGTGGCTTCACCGCCCGGCTGCTGCTCGCGTGTGTCATGAGGCATGTGTTCTAGAGTGGGACCGCGCAATGGTGTTGTGCTGTGCCCCATAGCAGGGCGCAAAGCACACAGGCGAGTCGCGCCCTCGCGCGTGTGCGTCAGAGGGTCTTTTCGGGAGGTTCCGACGGTTCCGTGCAATTTCATTGGTTGGTCGATTTTCCATCAGCAAGATCCGAGGACGCTTTTTCGATTTTTTTCCTATAGGAAATTTTCCGCTTTGACACCCCTAACTGTGGCTCTTGTGCCGCGGTACACATGATGCCGGGTGGTGCTCAAAACGAACTGATTGCGCACGTCGGGCTCGCCCCGTTGGTTCTCTGTGCTGCAGCCAAGAGGTTCTACACAAGCGGACCGTACTGGCAGGGACAAACACGAGCACGACCCTTGCCAACATACATGAAGCGTACCTGTTGCTCAGCGGGTTGGCTCGCCAGGTCTCGAGCGCGGTGCTGTTTCGATACAGGCCCTTGATCATCGTCTCCAGCACAAGGAAGACGCCATTCAACAGGCCCCACAAAAACAGCTTGGGCTCCACGTCGTGCCAGAAGGCGACAAAAACGAACACAACGAACACGTTCCACCGCCTTCCTGGTTTGGAGCCCCCCAAGGGAATGAAAATGTAGCGGACTAGCCACCTGTTGAAGCTGCAGTGCCATCCTTTCCAGAAGCCCACCACCGAGTAGTTGTTGGTCATGCACCTCTGTACAAGAGCCAGGGAGGACGGCGCCGTGATCAAGGATTGGTCGTCAACGCATCGTGGGACGTGGCCCAAGAGATGCCACGACGATGGGCGTTCTCAGTGAGCACAAACGCCCTACGGCAGGACTTTGAGCAATGAGGTTGACCTCCAAGACTCCAGCTCGACAGCATGCATGGTGGTTTTCGGCACATGGTGCCTGGGTCTCTTTCGTCGTGGCCAAACAACCCTCCGCTCACCTGCATGTTCTCCGGAGGCTCGACCCCGTCACAGAGGGCCCAGAACCGGAAAAGCCTCCATATGACAAGGAACTTGAGCCACATGATGAGTAAGATGGTGTAAGCAAACAGCCCTAAAATCGTAGGGCTGAAGCTGAAGGTCTCGCATCAATTTGTTGCGTCGAATCGGAGGAAAACAAACCCGGTGGGATGCGTTGAGGAGGATCAGAATCCAGTTTGTTTTGAAATCATGCGTAATTGTGAGTCCAACCTTCAGCTCTCCTTTCGAGTGCGCAAGCGACCCAATAGCAAATAATCACTTGTTCCAAAACAGCATACTGTTGAGGGTCATTGGCTGATAAACTCCTCAAATGGGCCACGACTCGGGAAAATGCACAGCACTATATACTTGTACGGTAAGCTCACTTGAGGGAACCTGAGCGGGCAAGCGCGAAGACCGGAAGGTTGTGGACACTCCACTCCAACAGTAACAGCGCGAAAACAAACCGCGCGAGGTAAAACAGCATGCGCGATCGGCCGTAGGACTTCTGTGGGCAAGCCATCTGTTTGTGGCGAGGGGGATGGGGGGTGGGTAGGGTCACGAAATGTCAACAAAACTATTATAGCGGCAACAACCAACGCAACCATCCTAAGCTATGCGGCGTCAGAGCAAGGCCTCCTGCCGGACATGGGGCAATACGCTAAACAGAGCTACAAGGAAAATTCAACATGCGTCACATTCGCACAAACTGCCTTGCCGTTCAAACGACTTGCATAGTCAGAGCATACCACATGATCTACTTCGTATGATCTACAAGCAGCTCGCTGGTTGAGACACAACAACACAGGAGAATGTTACGGGCAGCAACAGCATATCAGTAGCTGTCGACACGGAACTCACGTGAGATACAAAGGCATTGAATGTTACGGTAGGCCCGGCCAGGTAAAGAGGGGCGTAGAACGCGTAGCAGAGGCAATGTCCAAGGGAGTACTCAGCCATAGGGCGGTGTGCCGAAACTCTCGATGAGTAGTCGTGAACGTTGATCTCTTTTAGCTCAAGTGGCTTGAAGAAAGACGGAGAGCGTCCAGGAAAATGGTGCAAGCACCGACGGCAGTATCGAGCCAAGGCAGTAGCGGCGAGAAGGCATATTGACACAGGTGTACCAGTTCAGAGTGCAAACACACCAACAAGGAAAAGTGTACGTGTTGAGTTCTGCGATGACGTCATGTTGGCTCGAAGGGCATGATACAACCAAGACTGTTTCCTTTGGATACGTCTGGACTGCTGTAAATGTGCAAGGCCATACTCTACGAGGAGCTCAGTCCCTCATAACTCCCTCCCGCGCTTTGCCAACTAATCTAGAATACGCCGTGACCTAAAACAACCTTCGAAACACAGAGCACAAATCGAACCTTCACGCCCCCTTGAGGGCCCACCCCGTCGGTCCTCTCATAGTGATGGGCCAGTCAACCCCGTGCACATGGTAATGCACAAGAGCTGAGAGAGTGAATCGACAAACGTCGCCTCGTCGCCTTGGGCACCCGAAACAGTCAGTATGCACTTGTCAAAATCTAACATTTGGAGACCAAAAATTTCAAACGAAACGACCATCCGGCATGAAGGGTCCCGAGATGGGCACATATTCCAGTAGAGGATATCACGAAGTAGACGCACGCGCGTTGGCACGCCCAGATCTGTGGCAGGGGTTGTGCTGTGGAAGGCTGCAACAGCGGTTTGAAATCTTCCCAAATCTGGATCCATACTATCCGTCATCTGGTGTTTCGCGCTGTCATAGACTGGCGTGCTGTTCTAGAGTATTAGCTCACAGCACTGGTTGCCTTCAACGAGCCGCAGTTTGAAGGGTTCGCTGTGACGGGGCGAACAGCGGTGGACCATGGGTGGTATGGGTCTAGACACCGCAGCTGCAGCTTTAGACAGCACGGCCCCAGCAACAGGTCTGGGCGTGCCAACTCCATGATGCCCTCATCTGGAACATGTGCCCAGTCCAGGACTTCGCAACGCAATGACCTCGTTTGATCACGGGCCGTGTCGTTTAGTCTTGACTTTACACTGGTGGATTTGGCTTCAGAGAAGGTGTTTGGACGTAGACTACGTCATACGCGGTAGGACACAAGCCCCAACCGACGCGGGAATATGTGTGGCTACTCCTGGATTTATTTTCCCACAACACATTCGGATCGGTCTCTCACGTGCCTCGTGTGTAATTGCTGGGAGCTTCCTCGATCGTTTTCGAAATCAGTCCAAATCACTGCAAGAACCCGTCACGCACACCTTATCGTCGCTATCCGTGGGCGCCGCTGCACTGGAACCTTGCCGCCTCCTCTGAATCTCCGCCCAGTGAAGATCCACACTAAAGCTCACGATGCGAAGCACAACAAGGTTAAATGACAACCGCCACGGGTGGAGCCCTTGAAGCCCATCCAGCCCAGCAAAGCCCTTCCAGAGCACCGTCTCGAACGTGAGCAACCCGTACCATTTCTCCTTGAGCCAGATATAAACGACGGCAATAACCCAAACCGCTGGCAGTGCAAGCCTTGTCCCTTTTAGCGCGTGTCCGACCCAAAAAGCTCCACATACCAAGGCCATCGGAAAGACTGCAGAAGCTCCGTGGAGCACGGCCAGGAACACGACGCTGACAGCCGCATTAAGTAAGGCTCTTCGCCGACCTAGTTTTCCCATCGGTAGGAACGCAGGCTGTGGCGGTGCTGCCGGAGCGTTGGCTGCTGCATCGCTCTTGTCGGCCGCAACGCTGGTGCAGGTGTTTATCTTCGTTTGAGTATTTACCATTGCGGCATTCTGGCTTGGCCGGGAGACGGAGCGGTGGGGGCAAAGGAAGGCGCGTCAAACTGATTCATTGCAGAGGGCGGCCGCACGCGACAAGATCAGATAGGGGAAAACCTACATACCATCCCGGACCCCACGAAAGGTCAAGAAGATCTTGCTTATCTGTCAATCAGTTGCATTACCCGCTGGGCACCCTCTTGAGGGCATGTCTTGCGTACGAGCAAACTGAGCAGACCGTGGGCAGCGATGGCCGCGAAAAGAAGCGGCAGGCTGTCTCGGAGCTCCCGCCACTGGTCGTCGGCTCCGTCGAGTGTTTGACCCAACCATCCCTGTCGTAGAAACCTCGGGGCGAACAGAGGACACCGATGCGCAAGAAACAGCCGCACGATTTACTCCGGTAAGCATGCATTCACGTACAGCAGCTGTGAGGGAGGGAACCCGTTCTTTCTTCCTGGTACACTTTCGTAGAGTCCTAGCAGGCAAAACCGAAAAATCGCTGTGTGCTGCTCGGGGAAACGTAGAAACACGGTCTCCGCAAATGCTACAGCAGTATGCATTCTTGCTGATGCATCCCTTCATTGCCAACTTATGTTGGACTCTCGATTGATTCGTTGTGTTTTCGTAGAGCCAACACAGAATGGTAATCACAAAACGCTACCCTTTCCGTGGTCCTCGGTTCCGGACTGTTCGATTGAAGAGGTGACTTGTCTTCCAAAAACGCAACGAAAATTAAGACAAACCCGACTGTCCGTATGCACATGATGTAGACAAAAGCCTGACTTGGACCACGCAATCGCGAGCCTTCGTGTACGGTCAACGGCTGTTTCATGCTACATTACATAAACCTAACCCCCAACTCTGTAGGTAGTCTGTCTGAGTCTGACGGCGGGCTCGTGTATTCTACAAGTACACTGCATCACGCCTTCGCTTGGTTTGAGAATCGGGCCAAGACATGAAATGCTAACGATTTTCTGTCCTGGCCGCACCCACGTGGTTGTGCATGCCGTTACTTTTCTTACATGTCTAGCGGGGGAGAAGAGGCGGTGCCTACAGCCGTCAGCAAAGAACGACTGACTGACCGATCCTTCCCTCGCGGAAGACGACAGCAGTCAGTACGTTTATCTCCCTCACCTTGCGCAGGGGCGTTTGTCCATACACTCCTTCAACCACAGTGGCGAACAAACGTTCGGGATGTGCCAGAGGGAAATCCCGAAGAAAACAACGTAGCCTGCCAGCTCCAGCACTCGCCCTACCCCCCACGAATTGGCCATCGGTGCTCCGCTATGCTTGGTAGCGTAGATATACCTGTACCTGCTGTCTTTCCAAGGGGGCACCCACCAAACCGTCGCTTGCTCTTGTTTTTTTTTCGGGGTCGTATCGCTCTTTCGCCTTCTCCTATGGGGTAGCTCAAGAGAAACTCCTACGATTAACAGTGCATATCGCCCCACACTAGTCTGTGGCGGATGAAGACTGCGCTGCTCAGCTCGGGTTGTGCGCTACCCTGGCTCCACACTGCAGTCGGGCACCCCCGCACCGCTGTCCCCCTACCCGTGGGTTACGGAGTATATCCGCGTAACCCCCGAAGATTTGGCGGGCGGCGAAAAATTGCCAGAGTTCACTGTGGGTACGCACTGCTCTAGTACCTGGTACTGGTGTACGTTGTCCTTCGATTTTTTATTTTTTATGCGGGAATATATATGTGTTTGTTTTTCGCCCCCCGTCTTGCTGCACCCCCTGAGGTGTGGTGCAGGGCGGGGGATGCCTGGTCGGCGGGAACCCGGCACGGAACCCTCCGGCGTTGTAGGCGGGTGTGGAAAGCGTTCCCCGTTCTCCTTTTATTTTATTTTGATCGGTCTCCTCGACGCTCTTTCTCGTTTGGTGCGGTAGCTGGTCTTTCTTTCTATCATTTTGTTTCTCTTCCGAGTGGTTTTTGTACCCTATTTTTTTCTGTTTCTTCGTGGGGTCGTGTATGCCGGGTTTTGAGACCACGGGCTCCCAATCTTTCTTTTTTAGAGCTAATGTGAGAAACAACAACAACAACAACTGGCACAGGAAAACCGCTGGCCAGTTCAACAATTTTTGGGTTGTGGTTGGAGGTAGACACGAAACCAAACAAAGCCACAGCGGGTTTCCAGCCCTCAGGCAGCACCAATGCGCTAGGCCTCACTAGGCCTAACCCACCCCTAACCCTAACCCTAACCCTAACCCAACACCCCAAGCTAGGTTGTGGTGCAGTGGGTAGGCCTAGGTCGCTGTACCGAGCTACTGGCACGCGGTTTCTCTGTGCCAGTACTGGCAAATTTTCGCCGCGGGAAGATTTGGGGAGGTGGTCACGATGGTACGTGGTTGCCGACGTACGGCTGGGTTCGGCCAATCATCGCTGTAAGAAAAAGATGTGTACCTTACATTGTCTTCGTTTTCTGTCGTTTGCCTCGAAATCTTAGCGCACTCTTACAAAGGACAGACCGACGCTCACACGTACACGGCAGAGTCAAGCAACGCAATCGTCTCTCTCTGGAACTTCGCTTCGGCGAGCCACCAGATCATCTAGCCTCTTCTACGTCATCTCGACCGGCTTTCGCTGTCCTCTCTCCTGTCTCTCTCTCTGGTCCTTCTCTCTCTCTCTCTCTCTTTCGGTCTCTCTCCATCTTCGTGGAGAAACCATGCCTCCGCGCTCGGACACGGCGATTGGAGCTAACGATGATTCGACGTCCTCGATTACGAGACCGAACAAGGATGTCAGGGTCGATCTCATGGCGCTCCGCAAGCAAGTACCAGAAGAGTGAGTGAGCGTGGCAAAAGAGTTGTTTTGTAGTAGAAAAACCTGTGAATCCGTTCAGTTGGCACAATTATTGCAATTATTGCCAATCGCCCCGCCACTCCCAGGGCCTTTGCTCCGACGAGATGAGCGGCCGTCGTCATCTCACGACTATTGCCCACGCCTCACGAGCACGCTTGAGCTGTCTTGACCTGGCGGACGGCGTTTCAAGAGAAGCAGTATAGGCCACCTATGGGCGTGTGGCACTTGGGAGGTACACCTGGAGAGGAAGCTGGCGTGTCTGTTCGTGGTTGGGACGTGACGCGCTCAAACAGGCACACGCGTAAAAAAACTGAAGATGCTGACGAAAACCACGTGTGTGCAGACTGAATGTGTTGATGCCGGCTCGACGAACCCGCTGCAGGGAGGTCTCTCGCTCTCTCGCTGTTTTCATCTTGGGTGAGCACCGTGTTGCATTGCAGAGGTGTATTTGCACCCGTGCGTTGACTCATGTACGGCAGGTACGGCAGCTCTTACCGTCAAAGAGAGCGGCCGCTCGCTAAAATTGACTCCGCGAGCGCGCCTCAACCGAACAAATGAAAACCTCGACCCATATTTTTCGTGACGCGTGCCAACGGTCGAGTCATCGTATCATACACACTCATCCCGCTGTATTGTATGCAAATGATCTCCCACGGCTCAGCGAGTAATAGGAAGAGGGCAGGTGCAGGAATCAAAGTTGGTGATGAACTACAGGTGATGTCCGCACGTCTGCACGCCCTTCGCTGACAACACAAGGATCACGTAAGCAACATGCCCACCAATGAAAACACGAGGGCCCTCGTCGTACTCGTTCTCCTTTCCCACATAAAAAAAAACGTTACCAGCGCCGCTCTCTTGTCTGCTGGTCTGTCATGACAGGTGCTTCATCAAAAGCTTGCCGAGATCGCTCTTCTACATGGCGCGGGACATGGGCTGCGTGCTGGCGCTGCAATACTTGTACCCCATATACGTGGCCGGGAGCTGGCCACTGACGTTTCTCTGGTGGAACGCGAACGGCTTTATGCTGTGGGCGCTATTCGTTATTGGTGAGGATTAACTGATAATGCAAGATCCTTGTATTTTTTTGTGTGTTATTCTACTGTAGCTCGCCTACAGCAGTACCTCCTACAGATCGCCATGTAGAAAACATACATGGAGAACGGATGTGGTACAGATTGTATCGGGAAGCACAAGCCCAGATGATGCATGAATCAAACATAGCTCCGGCAAACATACAGATCACCGACCGTGTCCTCAATATGATCACGTGAAGCCATGCATATGCCCTAGTTCATACACCGTCACGTTCGTCGTCCTACACATCACCTCGGGCAAGCAAGCACCGATCACCTTCTGCTGTCTATCCTTCAGATAGAACTTTGCAAATCGATTTGGGGATGTTTTGATCTTCCGGGGAAGTCAGGCATACTAAACGCCGGCACACCAACCTGGCACTCACCCACCCAACGCAATGCCTACAAGATGTCACAGGTGGGATTGACGGTAGGTGTTCTTGGTTATTTGTGTTCGATTGAAACGAATTTCTTCGTGCCTCGGCCGCCGTCTAAGAATGCCAAGCGTATAGTGCTGTATGGCAGAAATTATTAAGTCGAAATTAGATGGATTCGATACCATATGGATGCAGGTGAGCTGACGCTCGGAAGCTCGATGTGCGAGTCCAACGGCCGCCCCCCCCCGCCCGTTTGGTGAGGGGGCCCTGGGATGCACGACCGAAGGCACCACTTTTGGCGCTTTTTCGCTTCCCATCCGTTTGCCAGCACGAACTAAATGTTGTTTAGAATGTTGCAGTTGCAGTACAACGTGAAATCGAAATCATATCAAATGAAGCGAGATCGAAGGGGGCTCCAGGGGGGTAGGTGCATGGGTCAAGTTTCGTGTCGCATCGAAATACATGTCTTGTTTTGTATTTACCGAAACTGTAAAACGTAGTCGACCGATATCGATGCAGTACAGTATATACATTGGGGGGACCTCAGTAGTGCTGGTATGGACCAGACCAGCACACCGGCAACATTCAGAGAGATGTACTGCCAACCCGGCACCATAGAGGGCTACCACGACCTTCAAGTGTGCCGATTTTGCACTTTTGAGACACATGAGAGTTATGTATTGAGCTCATAGGTCATGCGAGTACTGCTGTTGTGCAATTTTGAGCACCATATGTAGCAGCGAACAGCAGGTAGTACAGTGTTATCACTGGTGAAGTAAACCGGAGGGGTCTCAGCAAGAAAAATGTTTCGCGGAAGGCACACATTTCGTTGCTTGTTGCCATATCTGTTGCGGTCAACGACTTGGCACTCGCAACTTGTGGCACCGTGCTTTGTCTGCATTTCTTCACTACCAATCAAAGTTTGATATCCATGCAGCCTGCCAGAAGACAAGGATATCCGGACACCACAAGGAAGATCAACAAGCCCTCGTCTCTCCTGAAGGCACAGAGTTTACCTTGAGCACATGCAGTTTGTCCCAAGACAAAGTAACACCTCTTGACCTTCACAAATAAAAAATCTAGGCACAACCCCTTCAATCTACAGTCAGTCGCGCGGGAAGAGGATAGGGTACATTGACACCAACAAGCAAGCACAAGAGACAGGCTAGTTAGTTACCCCCGGCACACGGCATGTTGCGCCCCTGCGTCGCAAGCTGTAGGGGTACATCAGCACACATGTGTACTTTTCTCTCGCTACGGATGTGCATGTGCGTGGTGTCAACAATGCCCAAGCGGCATTATTGAGGTTTTCAGCAGGGCTAAACCGGCACTGGTATCAGTTAGTTACGGCGCTACAAACGTTTGAACGTGTTGTCTTACGCGCCGGTCACTCATGGTTTTAGTTAGAGTTGGGCCTGCCCCGTCTGCGGTTAAGGTGGCGCTTCATTTTTTTCAGTAGCACGAAACTAACGTGGTTGGGGGCTTTCTCCCTCTCTTTCTCGTCGGGCCTTGAACCCGCTCGAGTGTTATACATACCACGCGTGTTTTAAACTTCACGGGTGTGTCACGTGCACTTAGTGAACTCATCGCTTGGTAGTGCTGGACTCATCCCCACCGACCGACCGACATCCTTTGTTGTGTCATGCTTTATTCTTGCTTGTTTCTGTTCGGTGGGAAAACTCACGAACTTCCTACGTCTCATTTTCTTTGACGACACGAAGGCGTCGGACGCCTGAAAAATTGGGTAGTCCTCCGTGTAGTGATTGAGATTACATGCTAAATGTTCTTGTCTTACGAGAGGTTTACTTTAGAGAAGTTGCTCTCTGTATGTGTTAGGTACGAGAACACAACTTTATACTCCGTGAACCATGTAGTAACCGGCGCTCGAATCTACATAGCTAGCTTTGCGGATGCCTCTCTCCCCGGAGAACATCTCCAGACCGGAGTCTATTCGAAGTGCTATGTCGAGGTGCATGTCTTGATGTTCATATTCATCTCCATCTTCGTCACGCGCGGAGCGGGAAGGGCGAAGGATTCAGCTA